TCTCTCTCTCTCTCTCTCTCTCTCTCTCTCTCTCTCTCTCTCTCTCTTCCTCCGTATCCTTTTCTTTCCTTTTTTTCTTCCATAGGCGGTTCACATGCACAATATACACGGTTCTCATCATTTCTATGCAGGACGGAATTCCTCGTGCCTATTAAATTAATTTCGTAGGTCGTGCTTCCTTGGGAATTCATTCTGTGCTTTCAACTATACAAAGAGAATATTTTAACAAATGTGTATCATCCAATTAAACGTGCTTTAAGTGCGTTTTCATTGTCGTCGCCATCGCACCTCGCGCTTCCATCCGTCCTTGTAAGTTTGCGTTAAAATAAAAAAGCGTTAAAAAAAAAATTGCAAATTTAACAGGGCAGCGATGCATGATTTCCAAATTGCAGTCCCGCCGCATCTCGGGATGTTTCTTTGGCGCACCGCTGTCTCGACTCGTCTTGATGGAAGAGAAATTCCCTCCGCGTAACTAAAGGTGGCTATATTTGCAGCTCTTTGTCATTCTCTCCGGGTGACGGTAGATTGTACGATAGAATGCGTTGAATTCAGTTTTTTCAGATAATTTACTTCCACGCCATGCTTTTTCCACGCCTTCGTTTAACAATTTTACCAACAATGCTTGGCTAAATCGAGGAGTCGCTTCTTTCTCGCGAGATAAAATAATGCAAATCTTCCGAGTTCGCGACTTAATTTCCACGGATCCGCCTCTATATAGGTACAGTAGATAACCTATGTCTCGACCTGGTGGCCATTACAATTTATCTAGACGTTCGAAGTTCATTAGCCAACGAAGTTTGCTCGACAGATTACAAGTACGACGAGTAGTTACAATAACTGTAGAAGAGGAAGAATAAACAAATATTGGGCTGTCTGGAAAGTCCATGCCGATTTTTAGTAGGCGGTACAGGTCTAAATATATCGGAATGGCTGAAAACAAATAATATGTGTACATTCCTTAACAGGTGGAAAGGATGTAGAAGAAAATGGTACATATATAATTCAATAAACATAAATCAAAATTCAAATATGCCTTTGAATTTTTCTTAAAAATAGGCACGAACTTTCCGGACAACCCAATAATATATTGCGTCTAATACCCATCAGGTTCAGACTTTTACAGTCCATTACACTTACAGTCCATTAGAAGAATAACAAAAGGTGAAATTTGATGACTATTACACGTCGTACATATGTATAGATACGAGGATCGTCTTGCACTGTAATGGTTATTAAGTTAAGACTCGCATAGGTTATTATTTAAGTTCATTGTAATGTAGATTAGCTTAAGGTTGGTACTCTAACATAACAAAACGACTTGAAAGTATTTCTGCTTAAACCATAAAGGCACAGAATTAATTTCTACGTGTAACAGTCGAGTGGTTCGTACCAGTTACTTTATACCAACTTTTCTCAAAACTAATTACGCAAGACTGTCTTTGAAACGCGTTTAAAACGGCTGCAACCCATCGTTTGCAAGGAACTCGACGATTATGCACTGTTCCACGCGGTGTGGTGTGTGGTACCTGCTGCCCCCTCATTCCTGTAGCCATGTAGCCTTCGCTGCAATTGACAATGCGAGGGAAAAGTGTGAGGGAACCTGACCTGTTGCTAGCTACTATATAGGTAAAAGTGAGGGCAATAACATACCATGGTAACCATAGTCGCCTCTTCCCTCGAACCTCTCATCGAGCGAAATATTTTATTTAATAATTCTCTTACCGCACTTTCTGGAATAATTTCAGTATAAATCTAGTTACACCGATTGATTACTTTGTACGCGCTTGTAATCAACGTGATCCTTGTTCGTAGAAAGGCACTTCTCCATCGAGAGGATCCGCTATCTCGCATATTTTTCAAAGAACGATTCGCGCAACGTTGTTACGTCTGAAAATGATTGTTTAAATTGCACGAGTGACGAGGCAAGTTAAAATAGATAACGTAAACTCTCGTGGACGCGACATCGTTGCATCCTTTTACGTCGTTAACTACGGTTTTACCGTATCTTGATCACTTAAGGATTTCTCGCCTCTAATCGTTCTTTATCATTCTTCTCGGAAGAGTGACGCGCAATGCTCCTACCATGCGACTCGTTATTTCCGACTTTGAACGCGAACTGGCGATGTATTGTCTTCGGATAGAAAATGCATTGTGTTACGTAGCTGGTGCATTCTTATCTTTTCTGTTTTTATAGCGCGTAACTTTTAGATTCTACGCGGGATTCTGTAGAATTAATCGGATCTAAATATTGTATTAGGTTGTTCAGAAAGTTCGTGACAATTTCTAAGAAACATTAAAAAAAAAAACACGTTTGAATTTTAATACATATTTATTGAATTACATAGGTGCCATTTTGTTCCACAACCTTTCCACCTTTTAAGGGATGTATGGATGCTATTTGTTTTCAACCACTTCGATATATTCAGACCTGTACCACCTACCAAAAATCGACATGGACTTTCCGGACAACCCAATATTTAGTTCGACAACAAAAATGAATCGCATTTCTGTTTGAAGTCCTCGCGGTTTTTACCCGCGCCAAAACATCCGCGTTATACAAGGGTTGGCTGCGTTGTGCATAGTGCATATAAGGTAAATCAACGAAAGATGAAAGGTTAGGCTCAAAGGAAGCGTCGACAACTCGGATAAAAATAGGACGTTGAAAATAATGGGTCGAGGTTCTCCACTATTAACGAAGCAGTTCATGCTGGCGGTAGTATAAATAACTGCCCCAATTGGACAAACTCTTCTTATTGATTATTAGGATCGATGCTCTAGAAGAAGTCTCAATATCCAACGTATCTATACAGTTGACAATCCGAGTTGCTTGGGAAGCTGAGCTCTCTGGTATTCGCACACCTTTTATGGTAATTAACCATCGTTGCATACCGTTTAGCTCTTTGAAGCTCGCGGTTCAGACAAAAGAATTAAGAAGCTCCTCGAAATACAGTCCATTATTTATCAAGTTTCAGAATTAATGTGGAACATCAAATAATATGGTATTTTTCTCCAGTACTATGAGTGATTACCACCGGTGGTTCACGTTAGCGTGTCTATCAGATGGCGCGTACTACCGCGCCGTCCTGTGACAAGAAACACGGCGTGAACATGATGTACTACAAAAAGAATAATTTCCTAGATTATTAACTGGTATAAATCAGCAATTACAAACCCTCTAATAAACAATACACTGTAATACAGGCATTAACGGGCGATTTGCTGCCTACGTTACGTAAAGGAAACATCAAGATTGGTTAGCTTCGCTCGATTTCTAGGGCGACGAGTATGTCACGCGAAGCCCTTTTGCCTCGAAATCCCGTTCCTATCGGTGGTTGCACAAATTTTAGACACTGATCGACGCTTATATGCACCGGCTTCGAGGAGAAAATGACCGCGACCGGTTTCTATGGTATGCGTGTACCTTCGATAATAAAGATTCGATTGTAGAGAAACCAGTCCGTTTACCGTCCGTTCCCTTTTTCTAATTTATATTATACTTACGCGTAGTCACTGTTCGCAGTTATTATTCGGGGTGACTTGATGCTCGATATGTTTCAATTTTATTTCTTTTTTAATATAATTTTTGATATATTAGTAAAAGTTTACTACGTTTTCACCGTTTGAAATGTGAAACTGTGGCTACAGTGTGTATCCGCGCCTACTATGCTAACACAGAGTGCACGAGATGCTTCTAAAATTCTTTCCCCGTCGCCAAGTCTGGTAAGGTTTGACGTAGTCGGATAAAAAGTCGTCTAGTCGTTGGAACGATTCATTTTCTGGCAGCGATCGAGGACTGACGCGCGTCGCCGGCTGAGCTTGTAATCGTTAATAATCAACAAACGTCTCGAGTTAACGAATTAAATGAAAATTATGCGGAAAGAGCAGGTGTTTGGGGGAAACCAATTGTAATTTTCGCAATTGGCATCGCTCCATAAACTTATTCGCCTGTCCATACACATTACTTACTTAACCACGGACAATCACAATATTCCTTTGGCACAACTCGAGCTCATTGTATCAGCTACGAACGAGAATACAAAAAAAAAAAAAAGAAACAATAGATCAGGAGACGAGATTGCATTCTTATCATTTCTAAGGTTCTATGCGTTCGTCACTAGTCTATGTGACTCACCCAAAGTGACGTTATCAAAACATTTGCTATCAGTCGAAAATGTAATGCGATGTCACACTTTCACAAGGACGGAGATGATGCGTCAGGCATTACACTACGAAGTCTGTCTCATCCGTGGCCTGAAAACCTTGAATCATCCTAGCTTCCGAATCCTTCAGGAAATTTCATAAAACCCACCTTTATCCTACATCCACCTTTATCCTACATCCACCTTTATCCTACATCCACCTTTATCCTCTTCTACCTCGAACCGTTTTCATTCGTTTCGCAGAAAATCGTGACTTCTGAATTACGTCAGCGTGACGAGAAACGAGCCAGCGGGTCTGCCGTTTTTTGATAATTGGATAACCTTCTGTCTTTGATCGCGTGACGTCACAGCTGCGACAAGCGAAGTTTTCGCAATGATCGCGGGATATTTTCGAACGAGTTATTTTGGCAATCGGCCCGCCAAATGCAGTCACCCTTTTTAAACCGAGAAAACACCGACGTTGTCGCGTGTATTTACGAGCTATCGCATTACGAGCTCCATTAGTTCCCTCCGTTTGATCCTGTTGTATTATACAATTCGCATCCACAAAGATCTTTACGACTAACGCGTTACCCACACGTGGATGACGAAGCTTTTTACTATGAAACTAAATAGCGGAATAGAATAGTAATTCTGAAACTTGACAATGTCGTGTTAGTAGATAAAAGTGATGGAAATAGTAAATCCAAAGATGGAACATTATGTATCAGTATTCACCATCTTCTTTGGTCTTTCCGATAAGACGATAAACAAGAACTCTGGGTACATTTTAGAAAGATAATTATAAAGTTGCTATTAGAACTGTTGGAACTGTTTCGTTCCTAGAATGTATCGGTTACTGTTTTAAAGAATTCAAGATTAAGAGGTTGGACCATTACTTGGCTGGTTTTGTTCGAAGCCACCATCCAAATTGATTATCCGAATGCAAAACGAAGAGTCGAACGTAATGGAAATGAATACGATTCGTTCCAGTAAAAGTATTCAGCGAGGGCGAAACGTGAATCGCAAAACCCGAGGAAAGAACGCAGAATGTCGTGGAAATAGTTTTTTTACTGGAACGTCCGTAAAACGTACCGTGGCGAGGTAATAAACGATAATTCAAAGGTGGTTGAAGAATGAAAGCAAGCATTCCCGAAGAAGGGAACCTTTCACTTGTCATCGAACAGAAAGAAACTGATGCTGCGAGAGAAATTGTAGAACCTAGTTTGAGAATCCTCGTTTAAACGAATTTATTGTAATATCTTTCTCTCGAAAATATTATTTTCTTATCATTCCTTTCGATATGTATTAGGTTGTCCCGAAAGTTTCTTTCACGAGTTACATATAATATATAGTTTGCTTACAAATATACACGATAAGCGTGTTTACGTTAGCATTGCATAAGGTCTAAAATCAAAGATAATTATAATCAGTCACGAAAATCCTCGGACCGTAATAACTTGAATCCTAGGCTATGTATGAAGGAAGGTTGTGTTTCGATCGGTAGAAACGTCGATCGAACGATCGATGGCTACTACTACTACTGCTACTACTACGAAACAAATATGTTATTGCTTATGCTAAATGTTAAATATGTTAAGTATGTTATTGCTTTGTTTTCAGGGTGGGTTCGCGAGGGTTTACCTGATGACCGATGTTAGCAATGGAAACCAATACGCTTGCAAAATGATTCCGAAAAATCGAATGCAAAAAATCCATATGCAGAAGGTTTGTATACATCGATTACAAAGTTTTGTTTATTTTTCAACGGTGAATTCAATCTATCGACCCAACTTTTCGCCAATGTTGCAATTGTCGCAAAAATCGATCCCTTTGAACGAAATTCCGCGTATAATTGTATTACTGTTCTTATTGGACAATTCTTTATTTCATAAAAAGTAAGAATTTCATTCGTTGCCCCTTCCCTGTCTTCGGAAATACGTTACATTTAAAAATTAGAACAGAAAGCATCTTTTATCATAAATGATTGTTGTTTTATTTCATTCGAACGTCATATCGTTCTTACTAAAAGTAACCCTTCAATTAATTACAAATTTATCCTTCCATTGTCTCGGATAAGTCACTCGACCCTGTCCGTAATATTACCTAAACAAATCGCAGAAAGATGGTCATTAAAGTAATCGTTTTAAGTTTTTTCAGGTGGCCTCGAAGCCCGCGAGAATAATATTGATCTATTCCTTGTAGATCGCACGTGAGATAATGATCCAGAAAGAGCTGAATCACGTGAACGTTGTCAAGATGCATCACTATTTCGAGGATAACCTTAACGTGTACATGCTTCTGGAAGCCTGTCCTCGAAAGGTATCGTATGTCCCATACCCCATACCCCGTAGCCCGTAGCCCGTACCTACCTTCTCGCACAGTTTCCTACGGTACATTCTCTCTATACGCTGACAAGAATTTCCCAACCTTCTCCGTTCGAGCCAGCCCCGATCCCCGTTGTATTCGAAGAATGAGACAAGTTCGCCTGTTCGTACCTGTTCGTTCAGATAAAGCCTCCTTCTTCCGAGGAACTTCGTCGGAAAGATCAGCTAGATCTCGCTCAAAGGACCCTAGCTTACATCCGACCGTGCAAGAATTTATACCTCGTTCAAACCGCCAGAATACCGCTTCGATCCTCGTTTCTCTCCAACCTTTGCCGGATAATACGTTCACTTTCGAACAGAAATTCCTTCCTTGTGCAATATTGAAAAAAAAAAGGGTTCGATGCTTTTGAAACCGTTGAGTCTTGTAGAGAGAGCAGCTTGGAAAGCGTCGAGCAGATTAGGTTGAACGCGATTCTATCGAAGAAACTCCCCACGAGGTCATTTGAAGGTCGATGTATTATACATTTTGTTTCTTCTCTCTCTCTCTCTCTCTCTCTCTCTCTCTCTCTCTCTTTTTAATGCCATGTGTAAACGAAAGCTGTAATTTCTGTTTGGCAGAGTTTGATGCACGTGCTGAGGTACCGTGGCAAAGTCACGGAGCCGGAAGCACGCTATTACATGAATCAAATGGTAACAGGAGTCGCGTATATTCACTCCCAGAAAGTCGTTCATCGAGATTTGAAGCCAGGGAACATGCTCCTGTCGGATCGCATGATCGTCAAGATCGGCGACTTTGGACTGGCGACGAGGCTTGGCGATCAGCGGAGACGAGTGTAAGTCTTTCTTCTATTTCTTTTCAACCCTTTGCACTTAGAACCGGTTCAGTACTTCTAGAGATTACTCCCCTACATACAACAAAATTGTACCTCTTTAGAATATTAGTGTAGATATAGATGTGTTTAATACCCACGTGTATAATACTGTATAAATAAACAGAAAATTGTGACGCTCGATTTGTATGCACAGGACAATATGCGGAACACCGAATTACATCGCACCGGAAGTGTTGTATAAACAAGCGTACAGTTACGAAGCGGATGTTTGGGCGCTGGGATGCATACTTTATGCCTTGCTGGTAGGGCATCCGCCTTTCGATACCGCGACATTGGCGGAAACTTATACTAGGATATGTAACAATCATTATCGAGAAGTCGACGACACGATGGCAAGTCCGAGTGGACAGGATCTCGTGAGATGGCTCTTGCAACCGAATCCTGAGCTCAGGCCGTCTTTGGAAAGGGTGAAGGAACACGCTTATCTCACCAAGGAATACGTACCAGTTTCTTTACCTCATACCTGTTGCTACGAAATGCCACACGCTTCGATAATTGATCCCATGTCGTTGCCTTCAATCACCTCCACCGCATTTAGAAATCAGAAATTCAATAAAAATCAGGTATATTTCCATTCGTTTACCCCTATCATAAAATGTCCATGTCTCCCATTTACACATTTACACGTTAACACAAATATTTGTTTGCATGCTTTCAGGCTTGGCCAAACATACTAGCGCAAGAAATATCGCATCGGTACCAGCAACAAACCATCCACATACAACAATCTCAGCAGCCGCAGCAGCAGCATACCAACCGATCTCAGAAAAGTTTGCGAAAAGCTATGAAAGTGATCAGCTGGCTAGCTAAAAGGTTTCCAAAAGTTCCGAAATTCAGACAACGATTGAGTAGCGTTCTCTGTCCTGATCACAAAAAGATGGGATACGTTGCGCAGAGCGTGTTGATGCACCGAGCACTGGAAACGTGCATCAACGAGATGAAACATAAAAACATGTTGCAAAATCCGCCAACCGCGGAGGACGTTGTGCCTCTTTTTATCACCAAGTGGATCGATTACTCTAACAAATACGGCCTAAGTTTTCAACTGTCTGATAAATCTGTTGGCGTTCTCTTCAACGACAATACGAAAATTAGTTACACACACGATAGGAGGTCGGTATCTTTTTCAAATACTCTTTTTTTTCAGTCGGTATAGTTCTGGTTAATTAGTATAAAAATTTGATCTTATTTGCAAAGAAGAGTGGAGTATATGACCACCGAGGACGAAGTAACGAGGTACCATAAAGAAGAAGATGTTCCAGCTACTCTGCAGAAAAAGCTCGAGTTGCTTCAACATTTCACGCAATATATGGATAACTACATGACCGAAGGTAAATTGCATACACCATAGATTAATTGTCGCAAAAATAGCTCTATGTAATTTTAAACATTTCATCTTTATAACAGTTTCGTTAACATATTCTAAATCCAATTGTAGTATTATAGTGCAATCGTATCATGAATTTATTTTGTTTCGCATAATGTAGATTTCAATATCCTTGACTTTTTTTTATGTAAACAAATCCAATTTGTTCAAGGTGGTGAAATTAAGGAACACCGAATGGTTTCGAAGCAACCGAAAAATGTTTGCATACCACGAATGAGAAGATGGCTGAGAACGGACAAAACCATCGTAATGGAACTGACGGTACCTCTCTTACAAGTGAACTTCTTCGACGATCACACGAAACTAGTTGTTTCCCAGGAATCACCTAGCAGAGGATACTTGATAACGTACATCGACACTAGTAGGCATACCTCTTCTTACTGGTTAAACGATTTACGAGATTTTGGTTGTACGACTGACCTCTACCAACGTTTGTATTACGTATGCAAGGTATGTAGAGAATTTGCAGAAATGCACAATAACACGATTGCTTGACCATCGATGACACACCACAAGGTACGCTGCTTGGCGAAAGGTTGAGGTTTGTTCGATGTAAAAATGTGTCTTTTGTTAGCTGCATTCGTGCAACATAACCTATTTCTTTACTTGATCAAAAAGTATCTATACAATTTGTTGAACTTGATAATATAAAAGAAAGCTATTTTCTTTCAATCTAAATTTTTAAATGATTACCACTTTGATGTATAAACTTTGTTATATCGTAACGTATAAAAGTACAGGATTTATCATATTTATATTAACGTAATTGTTAAAAATTTACCACATTATCTTATTATGTGCATTTTGACGTTTTAGAGATGCATAGGTGAAACTTTGAATTATACAGGTATATTAACTTAATTTTTACGATAATACGTATATAAATATTATTATCGAATTATTACAAAAACATTCATTGCCTGGAAATATTAGATCTCCCGTATTCGAGGTTTTGCATTAGGCAAAGAAGATATTTATATGTATAATAATTATTTTGCAACAATTCCGTTTCTACCTTAAAGAGATCGTAAGTTATTAAAAGCATTTAGCAAATACTACGGAAATGTATATATTATATAATATGCACTTAATAACGTATTTTACTATGTAGCATTAATAAAAAGATGTCTAAAGATAATAAGTACCGTAGGATACCGCACGTAAAATAAAGCACCGAAATTCGAACCCACGTCTTATTTTTCGTGCACTCCTACAGTACTAATTTTGCATCGCAGTAAATATTTTTATATAATAAAATGAAAGAAATAAAATAGTATCGAATTGTATCGTACATGTGTCATATATGTATATTGAATCGAAAACGTTGTCACTTATCAGTAGTTACGCTTTGCTCATTCAATATATAGATATGACCAAATTTGGAATGTTCTGGGTGCAGCCGAATAAAAGACATCGTCGAATAAACTGATGGAAATGTCAAGTACGCCATATTCAGATTTTCTGATCAATTATTTCTTTTACAAAGTATAACGAACTTGTGATACATTACGTTTTATATGTTATTAAAGAAAATCGATAAGTAGGTAATCATCGCCGATAGTAATTTTACGATTAAGAGCCACTGTTTTACATCGTTTCTGTTTCTGAAATGTTTTATAAACAGTCTAGTGAAAAAAGGCAAGAGAAAAGGCAGTATGCTTTTGAAATATTTTTATTGTTATTATAAAGGATATTTAATTTCACATAGATGACACGTTATCGTGATAATATGCTTACCTTTGTAAAAAGTTAGATCAGGGCTGTCCAACTTTACGCCCAGGAACAATATTGTTATTATATAATAAGGTATTACATTAGGCATGATTAAGACTAAGCAAAACAAAACATACAAAAGCGGAAGCAATGACAAATTACGTTAATATTCAATTACAGTAGTAAAGTAAAGTACTTAGTAAGACGAAAAAGTACTCGAATAACATAAAAAAAAAGGTGAACGTATGCTTCGAAAAGAAACTTTCACCAAGGAAAACAAACTTACAAGACTTACTAGAGAAAACATTTAAAAACAAAATGCCAAGCATCCGTAATCTAAGTGCCTGTATGGAACAAGAATCTTCCTGTATCGTAAATCTAGATTTTCGATGTTTTACGAAAGTTTTATTTCTTGAGAGCTAATCGTTGAAAAGAGAAAAATACTTATGAAATAGCAAAGAAAACTGAGGGTACCAATTGGACGGCCTTGTCGTAAATTATACCAAATTACATCTATCGTTTGATATATGTACGTACGTACACGACAGTGGAAACGTAACGTTAAGTGGACCAATTGAATTGGCTTACAAGCGACATAACGCACACTAATTGTTTTCCCCGTAATGATCGTGGCGCGTAATCGTTTAAATTAATCCATTCACTCTTCCATGACAGACAATTTTTATTTTCTCGAGTGTACACTCGATTTAGGAATCTCGTATACCTAAGAATTCTTCCATGTAGTATTTAAAAATATCGTAATTTATACTTTCTACGCTGATCTGTACTTCGATGAAGGCTACGGCCGAATAAGGGTGTCGAAAGTATTCCCGAACCGAAACAAAGAATTTGAGGAAAGCTTCAAATCTGTATTCGAAAATGACCGATTGAACGACTCGTCGCCACAGTGGTTCAAGTCGCCAAAACCCTGGCCAAAACGTTTCACTGTTCCAATAGATCTCTACTGATCTCTATTTTTGAGAAAAATGAGTCGATAGATTGCACTCTCGTATGGAAGAAACACGAAATACGGTATATCTCACTAGCTGGCAATACGTAATAGTGTACGCGATGTATATATGTAGATAGATATCTCGTTCATGCCGTTTTCATGTTTTTTGATACGGTTCGATACATAATTGTTCGAAGGTGACGCTAGTTTTACGCCTCTGCGGCGAAATACTAGGAATTAGGAAAGCGCGGATTAGGTATTAAGTCTCGCCAAGTTTATTTATTTTTGTATCATTTCGGAGCCACATGCCACGTTCTCATCTAAACGTGCTCAATACACTCATTTTTACTAAATGAATTATACTTCATTTAACTTGGAAATCGTTATAATACAGACTTATATTTAAAACTGCTTTTGAACGTTTTCGTTTCTGCATTTTCTATTTAATGACCGTATATCATGCCGAAGTTTTCGTCCGATCCAGTGATGACTCCGACTCACAGTGTACTTATAGTAAACGACGAGTGATCCCGATGAGTTGGAGTCATAGTCATGAGTTGCATTCATAGTCCATAATAACAAAGAAGGACTTTGAACTTCGCTTCGAAATTTTGAAGGTACATAATTTTATAATAATACAATTAAAATTTTTGTTTTAAATTTTTACAGATTCTACATGTATTTCTCTCCTCGACTCAGAGGTCTAAAAATCCTTAGTAATCCTAGTCCATGCTCTTTTATCGCTTTGATAGGATTAGAGCGAAAAGGGTATCACTGCCATCAGTTTACGCTGCAGTAACGCGTTGTTGCTGTGTCTAGGTTGTTACATTAGATAACACTGTTTATTATTATTATTATTATTATTATTATCATCATCATCGTCGTCGTCATCATTTTTATTATAAGTGTGTTTGTTGTTACTATTATTGGTATTGTTATTGGTAATTTTTTATAGATCAGTTCGATTAAAATTAAATAGGAATAACAATATTAGCTTTTGACCATATATCGGTACGTGTATTTAGTGTACATATACATGTATATGCATATTTAATCATTTCGTTCATAAAACGGATTTGTTGTGTGTTTATGAAACACGGCGATTATTCCATGTCAACAAAATAAGAATGCGATCGAAGCGAAATAATATTTTGCGAGATTTACTATACATTACCGTTTAAGGACAAACCACGATAAAAATACCTGAAAATGATATAAAAGTGAGACAAGTATACGTAATTATGCAATTTTGTTCCAATGCAAGCAACGCGTTATAATTTAGGCATAGCGTACGATTCTCGCGACCCGCAGAAATAGAATGTGAAAACCATCTACGTTAATGGTACAGAAATTCATTGAAAGAAATCTTCATGTGCTGTTATTAGTTCAACTGTAACATAAGCCTGAGTAAATATAACTTTATTTCTCTAACATTTACATAACGTTTTCATATTATTATTTGAAATTACCGTAAGAGTCATTGTGATGGACACTAGCAATGATTTACATTAAAAATTTATAACAATAATACTTAACACAATGTTTCATAGCATTCATAATCAATATGCAATATTTAAATATTTTTAATAAATTTTTTTATTAATCCCAATTTGATGATTTAACAAGATTAAACAATTTTTAATTGTTATGTATTTAAATCTTGAAGCGCCCGCTCTTTTTCTACCGCATATCGTTTTGGTACTAAACGGGCAAGTTTGCCGAAATAGAAAAATATGTTACTCCACACTTATCAATTTACTTTACTTATTTTGGTTTCGATCTGTATTGTACAAATTGTTTTACAGTCTTACTAGATCATTTATAATCGAACCCATATTTCATACAGATGTATATTAAAGATGTAAATTTTAAGTTTCCAAAGTTATGAGACGATCTGAACTGTTATCATCTTTTAACTGAACCACCTTGAAAAGAGTCCTTGTTTCGGAAGCTATCGTATATTTTGAATCGACGCTCTGCTTCTCTTACAAAAGTTAAAATTCGTACTGAGACACGTAAATAAGGATTTTAGCTACCGCGCTTGCTGCAAAGACCGTGTTGTGATACACCTCCATGCTGAGGTCGAGCTCGATTTCTTGAGGACCTTGTATGCTTCTTGTCATTACTAACACAGCTTGAGACGGCGCAGGTCTTCTTAATGCAAAACACGATTCGGTGGCACGTTGTACACCAGGTGGAGCGCGTACATCTACAAACGCCATACTGAATTGGATCACAGAACCTGCTGGATGGTATCCTTTCATCTTGAATATCTCTTCCGGTCTATTGGGCGCTATTGGGAACATGCTGACGAGAGTGATGAAGTTGTACGAATAATGGAGCGGCGATGAATGGCAAGCTGTGTCTTGGGCTGAACAAGGCCACGTTCGCACGCATCGGCTAAAATTTTAATATTTCATTACACAAATTGTTTATTTGATTTGCTTGTTTATGGAACTTTTATGAAAACAAAAATTGTGATTAAGTTCATATCTAAGTAGAGTACTAGAAATTGTTTGTCAATAGAAATCTGGCACCTACTTTTTTCTTTCGTGATCTCTGTGATACCCTGCTGGACAGTTTATTTTGTTACATCGAAAGCCACCTCTAGTATTGTGACAAATCTCATCGGATCCTCTGCACGCATTTCCCGTGCTACATTCGTCGATATCTTAAAATCGATAAAAGATTAATCGTATTTAAATGAACGATGACTAACGATGTTGCGCGTTTTGCGGTCACGAGGAATTCAAGAGCGCACAAATATAATTTACGATTCAGCTGGTGGACCAGATCTTTGAAACTAGGTCAAGTACAGATTATACTACATAATTGCAAGATAATGGAGCCGGAACGCGCGTTAATAAACTAGAACGGTGCTAACATGGTGCGTACATCGCGTTAATGCTTTGTTACTTGAACCTGCATTCTACAAATATATTTTGCGTATAGAAGATTTACGCTATAAGAAGCAAAACTTAACCAATCGTACAAATATTTCTGAAACATAGTGTACATTATCGAAATCACTCGTGGCAAAGACATGGTTTACCTTCGCGAGAAACAAATACATATATAGTACATATATTTGCCTACATATATGAGAATTAAATTTAACTACGTTTAAAAAAACGTACCTTCGCAAGTACGTCCACTGAGTCCAAGTCTGTAACCATCTGGACATTTGCAAGCATAGCTACCAGGCGTATTCTCGCAAATTCCTACGCACAGGTTATGGCTTTTAAACTCTGTGCATTCGTCAACGTCCGTACAGGAACGATTGTCGGGGTTCAGCCTGAATCCACGCCTGCAACTGCATCTGTAGCTACCAGGAACATTTGTGCACATGTGCTGACACAAACCAGGGATTCGCTGGCACTCGTCGACATCCTAGAATTTTCAACGTAGAAAGTATCAGGACAGTGGTAATTTTGTCAATATAAAAACAAGGATGTTTTAAAAGTAGTTTTATGTTAAGACTTTATTTACTGGTCTGTTTAGGAACAGACTGTAATTTAAGAAAGAATCTTCTACTTCAGCATATGTTAATCTAAAGCTGACTCGACTTACTCGACAAACATCATTGTAACCAGCAGCGTTTTCAAAGCCACTTTCGCAGATACATCTGTAGGAGCCAGCCGTGTTCTCGCAACGACTGTTCGATCCGCAGACGTTGCCGTAAATGCTGCACTCGTCGATGTCAACGCAGTCCTTGTTCGGTCCATTGACGTGTCCCGACGGACACACGCAAACGTACCCACCCAATCTGTTCTCGCAGGTTTGATCTGGAGAGCACTCGTGGCTACCATCCGCGCATTCGTCCACGTCTATGCAATACTGTCCTGACACGGGGTCCAGGGTATATCCATTGCTACATATTACTCTCGATGTGCACCTAAAATTGAGTCATCAAATCACTACAATGACTTTAAATTGAAAAAGACATATGAGCCATTTACGTTAACAAATTCTCATAAATTTTATAGCATCATGTATACTTGTAAGATCCAATGGTGTTGATGCATCGCTGGGTAGTTCTGCCACAAAGATTCGGATTCAGCTTGCACTCGTCTATGTCTAAGCACTTGTTTCCAGGAGCAAGCTCGAATCCGCGCGGACAAATAGTTGGCCATTGAGTTGTCAACAAGGGAGGCGTGACGGGGGACGGTGTCGTTGTGGTGATCGCCAGCGTTGAAGCTCCTATTCGAGGCTGTGCAACCGGTGTACGTGGATTGCGATCGCATCGATACGAGCCCAGTGTGTTCCTGCAATGATACCCGTCTCCGCAGTCGTGGGTACCAAGGCTACACTCGTCGTCGTCTTCGCAGATCTCCGTCGCGGCGTTTAAAGTGTATCCCGTACCGCATGGTAAAAATCGCGTACAGGTGTAACTTCCTATGGTATTGTCGCATCTTTGCGTTGGCAAACAACTATCTTCCTATAACAGAAAACATTTCTATCATCTCAGGGTGGAGGTTCATGGTGAAGGGGCTCAAGAGGAGATAGCTAGTAGACCTCTATTATCTGAACTGTCTCGACCCTGAACCTGCTTAAGGATTATATTGCATAAGTGAGTTTCCTAAATAGCTCCCCTTAGGCTTTTTACCTGAATTTGACACTCGTTGATGTCCACGCAAGCTTGAGTCAAATCGTCGCGTTTGAAACCAGTCTTGCAATTGCAAGTATAGCCTCCCATTGTATTAACGCACTGCTCGTTGCTGGTACACACGTCTTCCACTTCACGGCATTCGTCGATGTCGACGCAACCCCGATTCCTGACGAATCTGCTACCACCGGCGCACATCTGGTTTGCTGTCGCTGGTGGTGTTCTAGTGGCTGGTGTCGGGAGCTTGGCGCAGCTGTAACCACCTGGCTGATTGTAACAAACTTCGCCTTTGCAAGAGTCCAAACCCTCCGCGCATTCGTCTATATCTATTAAATATTAATTCATATTTAGTGAGCGGCCTTACGATGGTTTCACGGATCCTATTCACGAGTAACATGCTACCTGCACATCTATATCGGTGGATGTTTGCAGTACCGTAAGAAATACCTTACTTTTATCTTGGTTGCAATTAAGAGTTGATATTACAGCATAATTATACTGCAATGTCGCATCGAGTTCTCATTATTTACGCTAAAGCAATGCACAATGTAACAAGGCACGTTAGAAATCGCTTTATACCACAGTGAACTAGAGAAACAGCGGGTACATAGAACCAGAACAAATTCGCATGCACATAAACACTTAATGCTAAAACCAAAAAACGTGTAAACGCCTTGAAACGTCTGACATACTATACTGTTAGAAACGTCAAGCATTACACGTTCAGATAAATTTACTTGTGACTTTCATTCTGAAAAAATGTTATAAATTATTAAGAAACAGTTTACAAAACCTGTGAAGTTGAAAAATGTTTCCTTAGTTTGATATTTCTTATACATTAAAGTTGGCTAAAATAGGTATAACAACTGAAACTCGTGTACCTGTGCATCTTCTTAATCGAGGGTGATACCTAAAACCGGAAGGGCAGGCTGGTTTCTGACGCTGACGTCCAAACGTTGCAAGCCTTTCGCATCTAAACGGACATTGACATAATTAGAAACCATACCACTTTTCTCCTTGTTATTGGGGGACCAGAAAGTAATGTCGTATCTTTTACATTAAATTCAAACAAATAAATTTATAGCAAGTTTTTATTTTTAATCGATTATGTAATCGCCCTCGTTATCAACAACCATTTGTTATCTAGTGTGCAAATTTTCAATATCTGATCGATAAAAATCAACTGGTGTACAATGAGCTGATATATGATAAACAAGTATTGACATTCACAGAAACGACATTACTTTCTGGTCCTCTTAATAATAACAAATTCTGATAATGTGTAACTATTAAATTAGTATAGCATACTTGTAAGTGCCAGGTAGGTTGATGCATTTTTCCGAATATTTCGAGTCGCACTTGTATTGACCCGTGCTACACTCGTCGATATCTACGCATCGTCTGACAGCTAGAGAGTACTCGTATCCAAACTCGCAGGATGGTAGCCTCGTGAGGCACTCGAAGCTGCCGTTTCTATTCACGCAATACTGGTGCAATTCCAATCGACAGGTATGCGTGTTTTCCGAGCACTCGTCGATATCGATGCAGCTGCCAGCGAAAGAACGCTTGAAGCCGCTGTTGCACGGCGGTATCAACTCGCAGATGTAAGAACCGTTCGTGTTTACGCATCTGTGAGTGCCCTGAGGGCAATCGTGTCTGCCCAGGAGACATTCGTCGACGTCTTGGCAACCCTTAGTCGTTGGACTGAAGTACCAGCCAGTGGTGCAGAGTGGCGAACACTCGTAACCACCTGGAGTATTGTGACACTGTTCGTGGTCCCGACAACCTGGTCCTGAGACACATTCGTCGACGTCCATGCATTCACCTGTTACCAAGTCTCTCGCGTATCCGCGTTTGCAGGGCTCCACGTACAAGAAGGGGGCGATGTTCTGGAAAAATTAATTTCATTTAATCCCTTCATCTGTACTAGTTATATTGACTCGTCCGGAATATTTGAAGTATATCGGGATGGTTGGTCAGGAAACGAATACTCTTCCAATCGATCATACCTGTAGTTTATTATATTTTGAATCGTACTTCGGTTTGATGGTCGTAGTTGTCGTCGTTCGTACGAATGGCTGGCAATGGTAGGAACCATTTGTATTAACGCAGTAATGGGTCGTTGCGTTGCAAGAATGTAACCCAAGTACACACTCGTTTATATCTTTACAGGAGACGTCGATACTGGTCATATAATCGGTATTATTGGGTGGCTGGAATCCTGGTGGACACGCTGGTGAACATCTGTATCCACCTTCAAAATTTACGCACTGTTCGCCAATTCCACAGTTTGACAAACCATCGTTGCACTCGTCGATATCTGTAAAATTTCTTAATTCGCATCAAAGTAATAATAGGTGAGTGTATATTATAACAATACACAGATATTTCAATGGGAATGTAAAATGTTTAAGGCGTTTCTCAATATTTGTCTTTACCAATGCAATCTTGGATTTGTCGATCAAAAAAGAATCCTGATTCGCAAATAACCGTTACATTAGCAGTTGGAGCAACCGCTGTCGGAGAAATTCCAATTTGCGGTTCGTGTTCTCTCTTGTACGAGAAATCATTATAAGCACCGTCTTTTCCATCCAACCTCCTCCCTTCGTAAGATAATTCGCACCTGGTCAAAAAAAAAAAAAAAAAAGAAACAGTCGAACAATCGAGTTTAAAAAAAATATCACCTTGTAGAGAATGACAAAACGAAACTTTTTTATATTTACAGTTTATTTATACGACCTTTAGTTTCAGAGATAAAAATGGAAAACTTGCAAGACCTTTTTCTTCAAATGCAATTCTTGCAACGAACTTCTAATATTTCAATTTTCATTTTCGGAACTAAGCGCCCTATGAATCAACCGTAAATATAAATAAATTTTGTCTCGTCATTCGTTTCAGGAAACATACCTGTAGCTACCAATTTCATTGACACACTTTTCGTCCGCGTCGCACGAGTGCAACCGCTCTTTGCATTCGTCAACGTCGACGCATGATTCTGTAGGATTGTTCGTCGTCTTGTATCCCGCAGGACACGTTGATAGTTCCGTCTGATCAACCGAAGGGAAGGGCAACGAATTATTCGAAAACGATGCGCATTCGTAGCTACCTATCGTGTTTTTGCACGTGGCGTTTCGTCCCGAACAAGGATTATTCAACTCGATGCATTCATCCACGTCTAGAAACGATACACGTATTATTGCAGGAGTCAAGCAAAGGAAATACATCTACTTACATGCACAAAGGAATACAATACATGCTGGATCAACACAGATTCACGTGTTAAGATACGAAAGATAATTTCCAATTACGAAAATACTCATGCATGGATATACCTACAGGAAAAATGTAATACGTAAAAAAGGAGAAATAATTTATTACCGATGCGGCTACCTTAAAACTAAAAGAGACTAAAGGTGAACTTTGTTCGATCGCGTAATAATTTTACAAATGAACATTTACCGATGCAAGTACCCAAATTGATGCTATAGGTGAATCCTTTCCTGCATTTTACATCGCACTCGTAAGCACCCTCGGTATTTCGACACTCTTCCGAGCCGTCGAGACAACTGTGAATTCCTTCTGCGCATTCGTTTACATCTACCAACGAAAAGTTAGAAAAATCAAGCATCGTTTAGCAAAGTGTAATTATATCGACTATTAAATTCTACAATTTCGAAAATCAACTGCTTGCAGCAATTATACATATAATACGTACCTTTACACTGTTGCGATAATTTATCAAATTTAAATCCAGCTGGACAAGATTTTATTCCCTTCATTTCGAGGCAATTGAAACTACCCTGCGTATTGACGCAAAACTTTTTCTCACCGGGACATGGTTCTGATAGTATCACGCATTCGTCGATATCTGTGAACGTCATTTGAATTAATTCACTGTAATTACATTAGGAGGAATTAAGGAATTTGAAAGTATACCTGTGCAGAGCTTAGTAGCAGGATCCCATTGGTACCCAATAGGGCATTCTTCGTACGGTGTGTCCCTGGGATCTTTCGAGGAGCACACGTAGGAGCCTATAGTGTTTTCACATCGACCAGAACACAAGCCCTTTTCCGTGCACTCGTTCACGTCTATGCAGTGGGATACACAATGCCAACAGAAGTCACAGTGGACAGAAGCGAAGTTACAAGACAAAATTGTCAGGACGCAACATATGTAGAACAAAGCTCGTGACAAAGCTCGTTCCATCAAGCGAGTATAAAATAAAGCTCGAGAATTATAGAAAAATAAAAAGATGTTCAGCAACGTCGACAAGTTTTTGAAACAGAATGGTGATCTCAAGCATTTGAAATAAGTAAACTTACGATACAAATGTTCATTTCGTGGAGTCCGATCGAATGCATAATATTAATAATATGAATCATTAACGTGCACTATGTACAGTGTATTTACGTGTGTACATTTGAAGAGGCAGTGATCTCTTTAGAAATCAGCAAATTACAAATTAGATTCGAGACTTACCGTCACAAACCTGTCTGGTAGCGTTATATCGGTAACCGTTCGGACAAACTGGTGACAAGTCACTCCCTTCGTCTGGCCTTATGCTTTCCCTATCCGATGATCTGGGAATGCAAGAACGTCCATCGTTCGCTAGGACGTAACCAGGATTGCAGCTACATATCACCGCGACTCCATTATCCGTGCAACGTTGCTCGCAAGGGTTTGTCGATTTACACCTGGACAATGAAACATCTTATAATTACCACACCGGAATAAATAAACAAAACAAATCAATACTAATCGTACACATTTTTATTACTACGCGAAACAATTATCGTAAAACTACTACCAGTTAAGATGCACGTTTGAAGAACTTCTCAAATACTTTGAAGGTGTTGCACTTGAAAAATAATTGATCATTTAAAAATGCAGGCTCCTTTCGTGCGATTTTCTTTAATCAGAATAAATATTCACTGAATATCGATAGAAAAAATATATACCTGTCAACCGGTAGGTTTTGTCTGCAAGTTTTCTCGTCTTCCAGTAAAGTGAAACCTTCGCGGCACTTGCAATAGTAAGATCCTGGCGTGGGAACGCAGATGTCGGAGCATAATCCTTTCATGAGCTGGCAAATGTCATCCAAAGCTGAAAGTTAAAAAGAGAAAAAAGAATTTAAAAAAAAGGAGTACAATTTTTACAAATTTTATTTCAACGATAATCTCTTACGAGGCGTAGGAACCGACGGCGAGAACGATGTCGGATTCGATGATTTCTGCGTTCCCGACGAAGAAGAAGCATCGGTACTTTGGCTCGGTGAAGTTCCATTCGTAGAATCCGAAGTGAACGTTGTCGTGGTGCTCGGCGATGCTTCGTAACAACACTCCAGAAACGCTGGATCCCATGGAATACCAAAGGTGAATCTTTTGAAAGCGCACTCCTGGCCCATAGATCCAGCCAGGATACCTAAAATGCCATAATTACGTTAAATGTTGGAATTGATGGTGGTAAACGTCGCCTGATGGGACATGCAAGCGTGAGCCACCGGTGGTACACGCCGTCGTGAACGTGTTAAGTAAAAATATTTACGTATCATTTAGTATATACAACAAAGGGAGTATAATTGTTTCGTTTCACTCCTCGCAGATAACTTTACCTAATTTTTATTAACGAAGTTTCTTTATCATTCTGGTACTGAATCCAGTTCTATAAAGATCATTGCACCCTTTGGTCCAGTTACCTAATTTACAGCCCTCGCAACAGTCGCGATGATAATCGCCGGGTCCCAGGCGTCTGGTTTTAGCGCCAGACTTAACACATGCTAAACCAGCACGTGCATCCGCTTTCCCTTTCTGGCATTGCCGCTCGTGATACTCTCTCACACAGCAAATGTCCACAGCCTCCAAGCAGAGACCTTGCTCCACTGTCGGCACACCGGGCACAGGTCCCGCGAACTTCTCGCAACCGAGCCCTTCCCTGGCCCACGAAGTCCCGAGCTCGCAGCATTTCTCAAACTGGGCCTCCATTATCCCCTCGATCAGTATGGCACCTGGAAAAAAATGTAATTACGATCGAATCTTGTTATTCTCTGATTATTCGTTGTTATGTTACAGTTAAGTTTAACAAAATTAAGTAATTCGTCCCTTTGAAAGTTTCCAGAAGACTACTGAAAACGAGGAAACAACGAGATACAGTGTTACGTTCGAGAGCTAAAGGTGTACCGACAGAATTATCTCTTATCTGCACACCATTTTTCCGAGCTCCCGACAGAATTAAAGTCCGTTGTGAAATGCTTCCTGTTGTCGCGTCGAATGCTACGATAACAGGCTAGCCAGACAAAATTTAGCAAACTATGTTCTACCAATGTAGATAGATGGCAAGGGTTTTGTACAAATTCACGAGTAAACGGTAGGAAAAATGATGGAGCAGGAGGGATTTAATTCTTCGCTTACTTGACCCTGCAGCCACCAAGGACAGCTGAGAAACTGATAACAGAAACAGCAGGGACAACTTGGTGAAAACTTGACAGGGTAACGCCACTATTTTTTCGTTATCCTTTCATTAATTTATTTCTTTTATACGTTATTTGTGCTACACGCTGTACGTAAGACTAAAACTTCTTAGAATATTATCACGTGACGTAATTTGGATATAATGCGGTCCATAGGACACAAAGAATAGTCGATTCGAACGATTTAATTCTATTGTATCGTTAAACGTTTTCAATCGCATCAATTAGATACGTCCACGTAAGGTATTGAATGAGTGATCCTGTAATATTCAGTTGATCTATAAATCATTGAATGTTTCCATGCCATGTTACATTTTATTTGTGTAACGCCATTAATTGAATCGAACATTCAACGTCGCTAAATTACTTTACCGGACAAATGCCAATATTCGGTTTAAAAAAAACATACATTTCGTTTCTCTAAAAAAAAAAAAAAGAAAAACTGTTTCATCTTCGATTAGTTGCATACTTACGCGTCCTTAATTATTGCGTCCTATATTATCTCGGAATATTGTTTCAATTTAAGCGTTTCAAGGTACTCGTCGAATGCGTTCTCTTATCTCGAAATTTAAAAAAAAGAGACAGATTTAACTGGAAAATTATGAATTAAAAATTTCTGGTTTCTTTAAAGATAAGGTTTGCTTTAGTTCGAGGAACGAAGACGGTGCTTGTATACTTGCTATACAGTGTTTGAATAGAACCCTCTATAAATCAGTAAGGAGTATACACGTCGAGCAGTTAAAAGGAAACTCGTGATTTGTTCAATGATAAGAGTGAAATGAGCACGTATGCATCGTTGTTCCATTGGAAAACTACGCAATGCTTTTCGGGTAATACAAATACGCGTTAATCTGAGGTAGCAGTGCTTTGATTTTTTAATACTACAGTTGGACGTAACAAAGTAATTATTACTGTGAAAGAGAACGTTAGAAGAGTGAATAATTATAAATACGACAACATTTGCATTATTTCTCAAGTATTAATTGACATCTAAAATGCTCGCTGCTAATTGTCGCATCACTCGCTTCGAAGATGCAGCACGATATACCTACCGAGTCTATCTTCAATTACCGATTCCGAGAAAACAGACGACCCTCGTATTGTACGCGTTAGTTTGCCGGCAAAGAGGTTCGCTATTTGCCTAAACCACATTCGTCGTGCGATTGGTCATATTATAGGTAATCCGAAAAAAAAGCAATGCGAAGTTTCAATGCTCTGTCTCGATCTGGGGCAAAAATCGAAAACTAAATGTTTCTTCTAACATTATTTTACACTATTGTAAGGAAAATATTGAAAAATAATCTAGACCCTTCAGTTATTTCGATACTTGAAACTCGAACAGTAAATCTGTATATAAAGAAATATAAAATATAAAAGAATATATAATATATAAAATTATTAGTATTAGGTTGTCCCAAAAGTTTCTTCCGTGAGTTGCATTCAATTATTTCCTGTGGCAGTGTTTATATAAATAGACAATCTAATTTCTTAGACATTGATGCTGTAACAGTAATGAAGCGAAATGAATCGTACAGAATTCAGTAATGTAACATTAAACATAAAATATTGTGTATACATTAATTATTAATAAAACGAAAGAAACTTTCGGGAGAACCTAATATATATAAAAGAAAAGCGATACCTCGGTTCCAGGGGAAGTATTGATCCAATTGGATGGCCAGCAGCAGGAAAAAGCACGCGCGTAGATCGATTAATCGGGACATCTTCTTTCTTCTATTAGAGCGTTGAATATCACAGCGGACCTCGAGCGAGTCCTTTTCACCGATTCGAAATATCGCCAACGAAACGTACAGGAAACTCTGTTTTGTTGCCAGCGCGCCGCACGAGCGCTCAGCGTCTATTGAAACGTTTAGTTTCCCGGTGCCGGCGTTTTCTTCTCTGCACCTTTCTATGCGCATCTCGTTTCTTCCTTTTGAATTCTCCTCTTCCACCCCACCGTACGTTTCTTCGTCGATCTTCGATGCGCGCGCACGCGCACACATTAGAATGATCTAGCGACAGCACCGATCCAATATTTGCGCGAGATGCTTAAGGCATTTTTTCTCATAAATAATACGTGTTGCTCCTACGTGTTAATTAACGAAATATGCTTAATTTTCATCGAGGAAGTAGAAAATAATTTTTATAGACTGAGACACCCTTGGAAAATCTTAGAAAAATCATTCCTTTAGTTTTGAAAAATTGAGTTTTCGCTTTAGTGAGAAACTTTCTATATGTTTTCTGTAGAGTTCCATGAGATCTATAACGAAAAAACGGTTCGATACAAAATGTACGAATTTTATAAGACCAGGCAACCGTTTATTTATACAAGGTGTCCCAAAAATGTTGTAACACATTGAGAAAGATGGTTCGGGAGGTGATTTGAAACAACTTTTTCCTTAGCGAAAATGTTGTCCGAGGCTTCGTTGAGGAGATATTAACGGAAAACACTGACCAATCAGAGCGCGCGGATACCGTTGGAGCGGCCGCGGTAGCGAAGGCTGTGTGCTAAGCGGCCGCGCTTGTACGCAAACAAGCGACTCGACGTGCATCGAAGGCCATTGACGCGGCCGCTTAGCTCGTAGCCTACGCTACCACGGCTGCTCCAACGGTATACGCGCGCTCTGATTGGGCAATGTTTTCCGTTAATATCTCCTTAACGAAGCCTCCGACAACATTTTCGCTAAGGAAAAAGTTGTTTCAAATCACCTCCCGAACCACCCCTTTCAATGTGTTACAACATTTTTGGAACACCCTATATTTTTCTTTCAGAAGAATTGAAATGTAGAATCTTTGGATAGATTATTATTTTTTTTAAATTTTTATTCAGTTAAAGGTTTAATAGCACCAAACTTTATAAACCTTACTACATTTTGTATAATACGTTAAAAAAATAATAACGAATAAGAAGAATGGTGCCAATTCAGTTATAAATTGTAAGGGGGCGTTGAAGGCGTTGCGACAGCCCTGGTCTTGGTCATAGGACTAACTTCCGCGGCATATGCTACTCGGTTGCTGTCATGAGCACAAAGATCCTTTTTTTGCTGATGTACCGTGGACAGTAGACGCCTTGTTTATCTCGCGAATTTCCGTAATGCCCGCAGAGGGTGGAGGGGGGTAAATCTTGGAAAAATACGTCCTCTTTGTGCTTGTTTCACAAATCGACCAAGTAAATGATCGATTTAAATGCACATGTTCCCTTTCTCTAAAAATCCCATTTTATATTTAGTTAGTGGCACAATCATTTGAACTTAATTATTCCTTTCTCAGAGCAGGTTTATCGGAGTGTCGATAACGCTGGTATCGATGATTAACACTGAACTTACCAACGTTTTATTTATACCTAAATTTGACCTGAAAGCTATCGAAAAGTGTGCATCGCGAAAAGTAGTAATTCGGTCGAGGAACCGTGATCGTGTAAACGGGGTTGCGATGACCGTGACACGCGCAACACCGTGTCGATCGTCTGGATCGTCTGACACCCGAGTGACAGTGTCTTGTGTTGTGAAAAAAGTCGAATATTTCGCCATCTACGTCTGCCGTCTGTACGCTTACGCATCCCCGTCGAACCTGAAACGTCTTTTTTGCTTCCTCCTCGATGGTAGCATATGTACGGCCCGCTTATATTCTAGGAGGCCACCGAGAACTTCAGCCAAACAACACGTAACGATGATATAATACGAGGAAGCTGATAAGTTTCCTCGACAGGAGATGGGCATTATCCTTTATAACTTCCTCGCGAATTTCTTCGTCCCCTTTTTATGAAGTTCTATACAGTTCTATTATCGGTGCAAAGTTATTTTACTGATTTTCCATGTTGCAAAAATGTTCGTAATAAATAAACCCTTATAATTATGTTTCATTCATGATAGAATAATTTTTTTTTTAGTATTGAATAATGTTTAATTAACCCTTTGTAACCGAAGCATTTTTTTTTAACTCGACCATATCAAAAGATTATACTAATCAATCAGCCTTAAGTAATGAATGGGATGAATCATTGCCCCAGAGAAACTAGTAATACCATCATTGTTAAATAATATGGTTTATTATTAATAACATTCATTGCATTCATATTTTGCTATACATATATAGAAGCACAAACGCCAGTTAATGGACACACGTTTGGTATCGCCATCTAGCGGCGAGGTCCGAACTAATTTCGGACCGTTCTGTTCAAAAACTTAAATTACAAAACTTTTCTCTGTGTATAAATGTGATTTTACATCATAATTATCATAATTCAACATCTCATTGTTGATTTGTACACTAATACTTGATTGATGTCAAGTTATTTAAATAATTAAAATTAACGAAAAATGTGGCGCCATCTCTCGGGGAACCGCTCAAGTTTGTCGTGAAATAGTTCCGACCAAACACCGCTAGATAACGCCACTAAAATGGAAATATTCAAAACTCAAATTCCCTGTTTTTCTCTTCATATAAATGTATTTATAGACTGTAAGTCCCATAATTCAACTAATGATTGCCGAATAGTACAATAATAATTGTCCAATGCTTAGTTTTTTAAATAAATAAGAATACCAAAAATGTAGCGCCATCTAATGTCAGGAGGCGAGAACTATTTCACGACAAACTTAAGAGGTTCACCGAGAGATGGCGCGCTTTTCTCTTCATATAAATGTAATTTAACACTCTGGCTACCATAATTCAACTAATAATTGCCGATTTGTACACTAATAATTGTCTAATACCTAGTTTTTTAAATAAATGAAAATACATTACACCCGTATAATCTAAGAACTACAAAAATTGTATATCGTTTCTAATAAAACAAAAGTGTGTATTATAAGTGTTGATATTCAATTCTTTAGTAATATATTCCGAGAATGTTTGCACATTTTGAACTGTCGAAACATTCTGGATTGATGTGCATGTTTCGACATTCTTTCAGATCAAGATCGAGATCGTAGAAATCACGTCTCGTCCTTCTAACACAATCTATCATCTCCTTTACACTTCCAGACATTTCCTGACAGCTCCCAATACACACTAACAACTCCTACCACCCTCTAACACCTTCAAACACTCTCTATCGTCTCCAAACACCCCATAACACCTCCCCCCCCCCACCCCGCCAAAATATCTCTGAACTACTCCTAAGGGCTCTAGACAGTTTCCTTTATTTCTCTTCAATTTCTAGAATGTTTCCTATTAATTTCTGTCTGTCAGTCAGGTTGCCTAATTCCAGGGGGTAATTTTCGATACATTTCGGAATTCTCAAAACTTCAACAATGTTGAAAGCCCAACAATGTTGCGAATCGCTTCTCTCGGAACTTCAACAATGTTGCAAACTCAACAATGTTGCGAATCGCTTCTCTCGGAACTTCAACAATGCTGCAAACCCAACAATGTTGCGAATCGCTTCTCTCGGAACTTCAACAATGCTGCAAACCCAACAATGTTGCGAATCGCTTCTCTCGTAACTTCAACAATGCTGCAAACCCAACAATGTTGCGAATCGCTTCTCTCGGAACTTCAACAATGTTGCAAACTCAACAATGTTGCAAATCGTTTCTCCCGAAACTTCAACAATGTTGCAAGCCCAACAATGTTGCTAATTGCTTCTCCCGAAACTTTAACAATCTTGCAACGACGACAATGTTGTAAATCGCTCCCCTTTTAGAACTGCAACAATGTTGCTAATCGCACCTCTCAAAGTTATGATGGGAAATGTCGGATTTTTACTCCTGGTATCAGGAGCACATGATATGCGAAGAGGTGGCACGTTTGCTTCTACGGGCAGGCAACCGGCTCGACATATCTGTTAGTATAGGTTGCCTAGTTCAAGGAGCTAATTTTCTGTACGTTTCGTTCATGTGCTCCTGTGCGAAGAGGTGGCACGAGAAATACATGGTGCGTATCGAAATTCTGAGGAAATTCTACATTTTAGTATCAGGAGAACATGATAGTCAAAGAAGTAGCATAACTTTTAATTAAATATCGATACTTACCTCTTGTATCAGGAGAACGTAATGAGCGAGTAGGTATCATAATTTTTATTTTCTACTCGATACTTACCTCTTGTATCAGGAGAACGTAATGAGCGAGTAGGTATGATAATTTTTATTTTTTGCTTGAAACTTATCTTTTGTATGAGGAGATCATGATGAACGAGGAGGTGGCAATAATCGAGTTTGACACGAATTTTACTTCTGATATAAGTATGGTTACAGCAGGTGGCGGTTCGCGATCAGTTAGTTTAATTAGTTAGATTTTCAATCTCTCCAACTCTTGTGTGTACGCGAAGTCTGTAATTTTTAACAGATAAATTAAGTACAAGAGTGTCAGTGTTCGTGAGTGTAATATTGGGGAAAATTTAAAAAAAATGGATAATGAACCGCAGGTGTCCGCATCAAGAATCATCGAGGAAAAAAAGAGGACATTATATTTTGTTCCTTACTGGGATCCAATGGTACCCTAAATTCTAAGTAAGTATATACAGCAGTGAGGACTGCAACGCTCGCTCCAATGCGCATGATCAGGAAAAATCCCACGAATGTCCATCACTGGTCGTACCAATGTTTACGATAACATAACCTCAATGACCCGGTGTACCAAATTAAATGAAATAAAATTATATATTTAATTTAATTAACATAACGTAATTAGTGTCATTAAACGTTATTTTTGCAGTTACTTCATAAAGAATGGTGAGTATGACAAGCTCCATTAAACATTATATTTAAATCGCTTCTTCTGTTTGATGTATGTCATTTTTATCTTTTATTTTAGGCACGAAACGCAGAAAAGGCTATGTATGTATATATAAACTACAAATTTACTTATTCTCGTAAGCTTAAATGGTAATTATATGTACTTTATCATATGATAATCGTTTAATAGGACTACGCTTGCTCGTTGGCGAGCAGCGCAAAGTAACGATGGTGCCAGAAAGGAACAAGAGAGAAGACCATACCTAGCTTCCGAATGTAGAGATTTGAGGAAAGCAGAAAAGTGGAGAATGCAGATAATCAGAGAGATAGCAAAGAAAGTAGCACAGATACAGAATGCTGGTCTTGGAGAATTTCGTATTCGGGACTTGAATGATGAAATTAATAAGTTATTAAGAGAGAAACGACATTGGGAGGCTCAAATAAAAGAGCTGGGTGGTCCAGATTACTCTAGAGTTGGACCACGTATGCTAGATCACGAAGGTCGTGAGGTAAAACATGCATTAAACTATAGATGAATCCTACTACAAGCATAAAACTTTATGCTCATAATATAATGAAATATTTAGGTACCTGGAAATCGTGGTTATAAGTATTTTGGAGCAGCGAAAGAATTGCCGGGAGTCAGAGAACTCTTTGAACAGGAACCACCTCCTCCTCCTCGTAAAACGCGTGCGGAATTAATGAAAGACATCGATGCGGATTACTACGGTTACAGAGACGACGACGATGGTATTTTATTACCATTGGAACAAAAAGCTGAACAAGAAGCAAGAGAAAGAGCCGTGAAAGAATGGTCGGCACAAAACGAGAAGAAGGAAGACGAAGAAGCCGAAGAGGAAGTCGAAACGACCGCGCAGAAAGCGATACCGTCGCAGCAAGATATTCAGGAAGCGTTATTAGTAAGAAAAAAGCAAGAACTGTTAGAGAAATATGTACTTTGACAGGTTTTATTTGTTTTTCTCGCATATTCAATAACAACTATTTATAAGTTTATTTGTTTAATTGTATTAGAGTACACTTTTATAAAACGCGACAGATATAATTATAATTATTATTAATTTGTAAGTAATAACATTGATTACGTTAATTGTTTTGTGCAGTAGACGTTCAAACTTCAATTTAATACTTATCGAGAAAGAGTGCTGTAGATAAAATATATAGATCAAAATTCAACGGTAGTCTGTTTATAATCCGCGCGATTTTTTTTATTTTTCTTTTGTTTGTATGTTGCACTCGGTTTTGTTGCAATCTAAGCACCCGATACTCGAGAAAGCGACACAATAGAATAAAACACCAAAAAACGTGGCAAATTACGATTAACGTAGTGAAAATTCATCTTTCACCGCATACATTCATACGCACAAAAATAAATAACAATAAGAATTTAATCGTTTCTTGTTTGCCTTCCCTATCGCGTCGAAACGAGATCAATTGGCCACTCAAGGTCACAAATCACGCTTCCTTGAATCTTATGGAATAGATTCTATGTCTATCCGTTACTCTGATTACTCTGTGTGATCTAGAGTAGCCAGTCGATCGTAATCTAAAGTATAATCGTTCCACGAGAAGTGGAAGTTTCTATCGTTTGCCTCAAGATATTTTGATACCATTACGTCTAGTATTGTAACAAACTGGAAACAGTCAAAGGCATAGGATTTACCCTGGAAAAGCCCTACTCGTTAATTAAGTACACGCATCCGATCCGAAAATACATGGAAAATTTATCCGTTCCCGCGCGTAACCACTCGTCAACGACACGTGAACGACTATACGGTTCGCTCGCCCCTCTCTCGCGCGTTATAAATGTCTTTTCTGATCCCCCGATTCAACATCGTGTTGTTTATAAACAGACTGTACAATATACAATTAAAAAGTGTCCTAATTTTAAACGCTAGCTAAAAGTTGGCGCTACGCTTACAATTTATCAAACTAGACTTGAAACGACTCGATCGCGCGTTTTTCTTCCTTCTATTCCTTCGTCCCGCGCGTTACCAAGCGGAAATGCCTTCAGCAAAACGATACGCTACAGTTGAAGGCGCTAAAGGCGTCGCTCGACCAAAAATTGACGCGCGCGCGCGCGTGTACCGAAAGGAACTTCTTTCGAGTCCCCGCAGAATCGCGTTACTCCGTATGCCTAAAGGAGACGGTTATACGTGAGAGAATAGTTCGAGCATGGATTAATCATCGTTAATTACCTAAAACGCTAAAGCTTGAAAAAGTCAAGCGTTGAACGATTCACAGCATCTGTTTTTGTGTTTTTCTTTTGTTCGTTAATCAGTCACCCGGTTGAAACAATCTCCCCTAATGTATAAACGCATGGACGATCGTCTACGTTTATCGTAGCCACGCGTTATCGTGTGTGCTTCTAGGTTTTTAGTTAAGTAATATCAACTCTACAATCACATCTGCGTTTATGGGGTGCGTTTTGCGAGTTTATTGTGCGTCATTGAATTGCGAATCTTTGTTCTCGTACACGTCCCCCCCCCCCCCTAGCCTATCTGTTAACTCCTCGATCGTCTAATCAGGTCGCATATACGTATCGTGCAAACACGAAATACTTGAATTGTATATTTATAATACGAAGAAAATATGTTCGGTGCGAATGATACGCGATATAACGATCTTTAAACGGAATCCAGAGCAGGGCACGAGGGTCGTTTCGGTGTACAGCGAGTATGCGAACTAATGGTGCTTTGGCGCCACTAATTTCCATGAAACTTGAATCTCTTTGGTGCTGAAAGGGCCCTGGCGCCCAACCCTGGCTTCAGGCTCTTTTAACGGCGTGAACTTGAAAGAAAGTCGACATACAGAGACAATACGGTGCGGAAAAAAGAAATCACGAGATTTTCACAGCCTCGCGTCTTTGCTCTTCTCTGCTCCAACCGAGGAGTATCGGTCCAAGGATCGCCCTCGATAAGGGATCGGTTCTGTACATCGCATGACAATCCATTCTCGAACCTCGCACGTCGTTAAGACACCAAGATTCGTCGTATGGGCTCGTAAGAACAACCGTTGCCTAATCGAATATACATCAAAGTGTCGTGGAGTCGAGAGAGCGAGAGAAAGAGAATGACGTTTACATTTTGCTCGGTTAGTCCGTCCAAAGAACGACTAGAGGATCGCGCGTGTTTTTCTTATATTGGGATCTCGACTCGGCTGGGTATCCCACGACGATTCTCCGTCGACGGACACGCGGCCTAAAAAGGGTAAAAGGCACAAAGTAAAAAATAAATGATCATAGTTATTGGCTCAGGCACATATCGAGTCGAAGAGTTTCATGCTACGGTTTCGCGGTCCTTTTACTTGTGCGCGATTAATTCGGGACCGATGAAATGGATGTTCGTGAAACGTACATACATGATGGTTCGTCTACCTTCATCGCTACACTGTGAATGTTTATATGAAAATTCATATTTTCACAGCTTCAGAAAAGGAATCGAGATTTAAATGAGAGTATGTCGTATCTTCTAATTCTCCCAGATTTTTGCTTGCTATAAATGCATAAACATCCGCAGTCTAGTCATCACCATCGTGATTCGTGATTGAATTTTGTCTGATTTATTCTGATATCGTTGCATCGAAAATGATTTCTCTTCGAAAAATATGATCTCCAGAGGAAAGGTCTCGTTGAGTGATCAAGCTAGACGAACCACCTACATACGCGTGTATACGTGCATGTACAGTGCGAGCCACCTAAGATTTGTACCTAGAATATCTTCGTTGCTTTTAATGATACGTCAACATGTTATACATGTTTTAACTTTGTATCAGCTACAAGATTACAGTATTGAACATCTCCGGTTCCATTTAAAAAACATTGATGACATTGAAATCTCGGAACATATGACCTTGAGGCAATTGTTTCGTTTAACATAGTACGACCACCCCCCAAACAAACATTTTTCTCCCAAGACATATCTTCGTATGATCAAAAGCAACGGAGATATTCCAGGTAGAAATCTTAGGTCGTTCGCCCTGGATATGCGTGTGAGTGTACGCGTTCGTTTTTCATTTTCTCAACGCATATGTGATATACATACGTAATATGTATGTTGAAAACACCCACAACTCCGTCCAGCGTATCAAAAAGGAATGTACTTGGTATATCGATCGAGTTTTCGTAACTCGGCATTACCCTTGTGCATAAAATTCAAGACAGCTCCGGTTCTCCGATAGATTGACTTCAGGTGTTTGTGTTCGGGCAGTAGACAGCGCATCCAATCGAACGGCCGTCGTTTGTCTCGTTAAAAAGTGCTTCGCCTTCTGCTTATATCGTTTTCTTTTTCTGGCTTGCTATTAAACGATCAGTCGTGTCACGACGCGCGAAATGAACGCGCGCTGCCCATACAGCGTGTTATTTTCTATCGATCAAACCGTACCGTTTATCGGTAATGCAAAAGATTTTCCTCCGTAACAGGCACTCTTTCGTGGTCGAGCATCTCAAGGACGCAGCAGCGAGTGCCATCGTTGGACCTGCGTCGGTTGTCTTGCTGCGCGCATGTCGTTCCAATGCTGAAGCTCCTCCGAACCGGAACTGTTCAGCCCCAGACTGAGCCAACCGATCATCTCTCTTCCTTTCCTCCCCATCCCTCCTCTTCGTCGATTGTAAACCGACAGGAAGAGCGTTACGTCTCCGAGTTGGAACAGAGCAACCTACGAAAATTGTTTTGTCGAGTTACGTGTCTAACACATATGTACGTAGAATAGCTTCTATCTGCCTAAAAGAACTAGTAACTCGTCTATCCCGTATCCTACATATACGTTTACGTATAACACAGACATGCCTGGAATATGAACGTTTCCTTGTAAAGAGGATTGGGCTGAGCACGTTTCAAACCAGTTTTCGACCGTCCCATTTCGTGACCATTGCTGTCCACGAGGGCAAGCTTGACATATGTATCAGGCGGTTTCGTGTCGTTCCCACCGCCACCACGAAAGTGGGATCCTTTGATTATTTCTACCGACAGACGTCCCGTCGTTCCATTGTACGCCAAGCCTATCAAAATCTCCGCCACGCTTCCACCCTTCATACTACTACCGTACGGGGGCACGGTGGGCGACGCGTAAGACTGAACGGACTGTTGAGACCCCGTGGAATCGCTGCGAGTCAAGCTACTGGTGGTTCCCCAATCTTGCACCTACGAACATAACGTATCCATGTACAACCCATTCCTTCAAAAGCCTGCCATGTAATAACTAGACTACGGATCATTATGCAAAATAAAATCTTCGCGAACATGCCTAGAAAAATTGAACCTAAATAGAAATTTATTTTATTCTGCAAATATTATAACGTGAACGACAATTTACCGAGGACGAAGGTGGAGGTTGCAGCGTCAACCAAAGAGTCGTCTCAAGTTGAAGGTTGATTTGATCGAAGGAGACTCTGGCCTCGCCTAGTAGTCTCTCTCGACGCATCCTTCCGCCCCATAAGTAGACTCTCAAGCGTACTCCCATGGCATTCACGTCCTCAGGGTTCACGCGAGGCAGGAGGAAACTTTCCATGTACTGTGGAGACGTGCCCTGGCGAACCCTGGTCTTACGTCGTTGTTTTTTCGACGGCAGAAGTACCAGCCGTACTTGACTGCCGCCTATACCCTCAGGGTAATTTCTACCTTGCAACACGTGTACCTGAAGAGAAAGGGGACGTTACTTTTTAGGGGTCGTTCCAAGCTTAATTTCATTTCACACAAATTATTAGGGAATTTGATGAAACGTACCGTCATCTCTCGCATGGGTGCGTCATACAAGAAAGCAACCTCCAGGCTACCCACTTCCTCAGCTACCGTGCCTATCGTCGCTATGACGTCATTGGTCGTCGGTCCATTCTGTTCTACCTCCACTTCCTGTTCTCTGGTGTCGAGCAGGATACTGGAGGCACCGACTTCCACTACGCACTGTGGTCGAAAAGAAACATTCATTCGTCAGAAATGTATACCATAGTGGAGAGATATCCAGTTGTTGGATAGAGTGGAGTTAGGTGAATATGTACTTTAGATAGTCTATGCTCTTTGTGAGAATGAAGATTGAATTTGTTAGCACTAAATGTACTATATTAACAGTCGGAGAATAAACCGAATTGAATTATCCATCTAACGCCACTCTATTCTATCGTGCTGGTATAATGTCGGTTGGCAGTGTCACGCAGCGGAACGTCGCGTGATAAGATACAGGCACGGATATCCGGGAACCGATTAATTATTTATATACCCGCCGACGAGATCGAAAATATGATATTCGATCGCGAAACGTAGAAATCGCGTATCCGCGATTTAGATCCTCGTTCACCTGTTGTTGATCGGTGGGAGAGTGTTCTTCCGTGCAGCTGCTGGAGGTGGTACCAGCATCTGAAACGTCAGTGTTCGATTGAGCAACAAGTCAAGAATGACAAATCAAAAACAGAGATATTTTATTTATAACCAACCCACGATGGTGGGTCCATCTTCTGCTTGGATAGTCAACGTATCTGGCGGGGGGTGAGGACGTGGATTCAATCGACGAAGGGCGTCCTCCTCGGAGTCGGAACTAGTTTCAGGGTCCGAATAGGAGAATGCCTTGCCTGTCGAATCGCATGTAAAAATTAAACGAATCAGGAATGTTCTTTCTTATGTATATAATAAATCGATAATGCAGGATGAAAATGGTTACCTATGGTCTTCGTAATCTGAGAGGTGGAGCTGTTGTTGGATTCGCATAGGGGCACGCAAACACCGCCAAAAAGCGTGGTCGTGGATGGTGGAGTGAAGCACCACTTGCGGGACAAATACAAAAAGAGGGCCAACAGGAGAACCACGAAGCCAGCAACGGCACCCAGAAATGCTGTCGCTTCCACAGGTACTGAAACCCATCGATTTTATTCACCGTCTTTTCTTCATTCATACGCAGCAAATTACTCTACGTATTCCTCTATGTACAGTATAAATAAAGTTTGTTTAAAAATCTGACGTGTATCTTTAATCATTTAGAAGCCCTGAATCTTTCGAGGCTATTATCACCTCGAATCCTTCGACCTAAGGTCCACTCAAAAGGATCGCCCCTGTGAGACGTAATCCTCTTTACAATCCCTAATTTTATCAACTCTGCTCCTGAAGGTATCATGTCCCTCAATTCCTCTGCTTCGTATGCCAACGTTTCTTGAGAGCAAGATCGATAACGTACGCCAAGAAAGAAATGAAGAAAACGAAAAGGAAAACGTCATAAAGTACAGAGAAAAAGGCAGAGGCATTAATTGTTTATCGGTTATGGGTAAAGGCGTTCACCCGTGCCGCGATTACGATCTCTCTCTCTCTCTCTCTCTCTCTCTCTCTCTCTCTCTCTCTCTCTCTCTCTCTCTCTCTCTCTCTCTCTCTCTCTCGACCGGCGATCGCACGGGTCGTTTGACATATATCGAACGCGTTAAAACACCAGCGACACGTTACGTCTAAATGACCTGGAATAATTAACCGTGGTCGCTCCAGTTGCCACGCAAACCGTCGCTGCGATATTGCGCAACGAAACGCCCTTAACGATTTGCGATATCAAGATCGCGTAAATTCCCGCGAGGCAACATCGTAGAACTCGCGACGGACTGCGTGTCAATTGTCACCGTCCATAGCACCGACGATTACTATTGTAATCCAAGGTTAGGACAGGACAAGTTGAGCCCTTCCTGCGCTTCGAAGAGTCCTTGCTTTGCGCAATGCGGAACCACGGCACGCGCGAATCATCTTTCGAGATGCTCGACGATTCATCGAAGGGATCACCGATTCATGCACGTCTCGCGAACCGAGAATAATGATCGCGTACTATGATCATAGGAATCGGTCGTTTCGCGAAAGATCTTAACGCGTCGATTACGAAGGAATTTGAAAACGAGTTGTTCGAATGTTCTCGTGATTTGTCGTACGTTGACAGCTCGATCCGTGTCAAAGGACAGATTACCTTTCGTACACCTCGAGAACCCGACGCATAGTGGACTTACCCGCCAGAAAATGGTCTGACCCAGCCAGAATCATGCTCGTCCTTGTGTCGCATTAAACCCTTCCTCTTACTTGGTTCTGTCGATGGGACGCGGCGTGTCCTCCTCTGCGAATAATGTACTCATCATCCGCTCGGTGCGAGCTTGTACGAGGCTCGTGGTCGTTCGCGATCGCCGTGAAGCGTGGTTACAGGCCAGTCGAATAATAATACGTGGGCGGGGGTGTACACACAGCACTCTGTTGCTCGTCGAGACGTGTGCGCCTGCAATACCTCAACCATCCGTACGCATGCGCCTAGCGACACGCCTACGTGGTAGGGGTTTTCTTCTGGCGGGGACTCTCAATCGAAACGTTTCGTCGCACGCAGGGGCTCCCAATTACTTTTTACTATGAATAAACTGCGAATTTTTATGCAAAATAACATCGTTGTAAACGTACGAAAATTCAACCTAAATAGGAATTTGTATTACTCTATGTACAAACTATATGTACAAACTATAATCTATACCTAATTTTCTCACTTTTTATGAACTTCAAATATATGATAAAATGATTTAACGTTGTTCAAATTAGAAACGATAATCCTTGACAAACGAACAATAAATTAGCACTGTAATTGTTAATGATATTATGGATTGCATTCATGTATAAATGTATGTACATATATATACATGTGTCTTTCTGACACGTTGTTTGAATTGCTTATACATATAAACGATGCCTCCTATTTTTGCATTGGTAGAGTCATTAATAAAAATGATAGGGCCTATCGTATGACAAGTTATTTGGTACATACAGACAGTTCCGATTTCTTTTCGTTGCACACAAGGCAAGAAAATTTTCGAATTGGTAGGGTTAAGTCTCGTAAATATGTTGTTTATTATTGATTAACATAACCTCAAATTTGTCTTAATTCGGTTCTTACACGGTGCATTAATTATAATTCGCTACAACTACTAGATCAAATAAATATATCACGAAACAGATTTTAATAATTACGTATTCGTAGTGAACTTTATTTCGTACCACTGGCTTTTATTTCAGTGATTTGTACATGTTGAAAATATGTTAATAACTATCTCAATTTTAAACAAAATAATATTGTTACTTTAAAACTCGTCTGTTTTATGTTATAGGTACTATACACTTTTTCTGTTTGATATTAAAATGTAACAGAGCATGTAATTTCATATTAAATTATGGTTTTGATATTGTATGGTACATAATATGCAATAATATGTGTTATGATTCCTCTATTTCTGTATTATTCCAAACACAGGAACAAATAATTATGAGCTACTTTACAATATTACGTTGCAAACAGTCCGTAACCTTAAATAAGTATTTGCTAGAGAAGTGTTTGAGACAATATTTAATGTGTAATGCAAGTTTATACTCCACTGGAATTAATAATAATCATCATAAAAATGACACTGCTAAAAAAGAACGTATCGCTAGGAGAAGAGCGTTAAGGTTACAAATAGTTCAAGATATTAAACAAACTAAACGGAAAGTGGAAGAGATTATCGAAAAGGAAAATATTTGGACGATACCAAACTTTCTTTGTATGGGTAGAATTGTAACATCGCCTTATTTAAGTTACTTGATTTTATCACAGGATTACCAGGTAAGGTGTAATATTATTAACTATATATAATTATTACATACTAAATGTATCAATATCACAGGTGGCGCTGTGGTTATTAATAATTGCAGGATTCAGTGATTTAGCTGATGGGTGGATCGCGCGTACATGGACATCCCAAGCATCTAAGCTTGGTAGTTTTTTAGACCCAGTTGCAGATAAATTACTCGTAGGTACGTTGTTCCTCTCTCTAGCCTGGGTGGGTTTGGTTCCTATTCCTCTCGCGTGTCTTGTAATCGCGAGGGACGTTGCATTGGTTTCTGCTGCTTCTTATATTAGATATCAATCTCTACCACCACCGGTATGTATCGTATTGTAAAGTGCAAATGAATTAAATGTTCAAATAAATATCTTTTGATACAATGTTTCAGAAAACTTTGGCTAGGTATTTTGATGCTACACACGCGACAGTACAGTTAGCCCCAACATATATAAGTAAAATTAATACAGTTGTTCAGTTGTCTTTTGTCACTGGAACATTGGCTGCTCCTATATTTCATTTCGTAAATCACCCAATTTTAGAAGGTCTGTGTTATGTAACAGCATTAACAACATTAGCAGGAGGCATAAGCTATTTGATATCAAAAAATACATATAAATTCTTAAGAAAAAAGACACCAACCAAATCATCTCGCTAGATGTAATTGTATGTACATTATTAATAAATGAGGAAAACACATCAGTGACACTATTTTTAAGTTTATTACTAGCTTTGTAAAAGAAATTTCCTATAAATATCTATGGCATATAAGGAGGTATCATATTATTATAGTTCCTTCTTCATGTCATACATTTCATATGCAAATGTTTCATAGATGTTTGGATCGTAACATACGCCGATATAATCAATTTCCAATCTAAAAGGTCCTTCTTTTTTATCACCGAGAGTAATTCCAAAGTTTGTGATTGTATTCTCTGGCATAGGTGATTGGCGATCTTGAATTGTTCCTTTTCCACCGAAAAAGAACTTTGAAAATGGTATCTTAACATACTGCCAATAAGGCCCACCTCTTGTATACAATACATAATGATAAGTATCGTACCAAAATAGATCAACGTATCCCTTGTGTAAAATATTTAACATGTAACATCTACCATCCCCTCTAACCCTTAAAACTAGACAATTATAAGCTCCCCAATCGAGAGTAGTTTCTCGTTTAAAAGATTTAAATTTTACTACTGTTGTGATATTACAGTAACCGGCTCTCACTATTTTGCCATCTTTGGGTATTCGAGTAGTTAATGTACCATGGAATACTCCAGTACCACGAGGTGATATTTCTAATCTGAAAAAGAAATTGTACATTTTACGAAAAGTAAAGTCTTAAAAATTTTTGAAGATTAATATTGTTACACGATCCTTACTTAGCTGTCGAATAACCCTGTTCGTAATCGCTATCGCAGGTAACGATCCACTCATTTCGCGACTTTTTACCTTCGTTAAATTTCCATAAGATATCTTCTTCATTTGATATAACTACAGTTGGATGTATTCTCAATTTTGTTCGTATCTCTTTTAATAATAACGAAGTTTCCTGTACAAGTTGGCGACATCCATTTCGTAATTTGTCAAGTGTGGTCTCCTTTTTCTGTTCGAGATTGTCATACACTGTCGGCAAATCATATCTCTTTGGTTCATAAAAATATAATAAACTATTGCACTTGTGAAATCCTCTACTATTACATATTTTCATATACGTCCGTAACGCACTATTCATGATTATCCTTTGGTTTTGCAGTGTATTTGAAGTATATTTGAACCAAGTTTTCATATGGAAAGCTTAGAGATTTCCATACATAATAGCATTGCAACGCGATCAAGAATAATGTTTACATTATTGAATACTCTTCACGATTTTTCATTCCAAAAATCTAGAGATGGTAATCTTTTGCAACTACGATTATGAGAACCTGCTTATCGAGTGCTACAAAACTGCGTGAAAAAATTAAAGTGGAAAGCTGGTGATTTTTTCACGATTCTAAAGGCAGGTTGAAAGAACGAATGTATAGGACTTTTCAGTCGTGAACGATGGCCACCTGTAGACATTGAAATCAAATTCTGTATAATGCGAAGATGGTATTATTTATGCGCACCGGATTGTTAAATACCAGAAATTTAATTTGTCTACGTTCCACGAATCGCTGCAAAAATGGAAATAGATTGTGTATTAGATTCAGTTCGACTCAATTTACAGAGCATTCGGCAGAAGTACACTTTTCTAATGGGTAAGACTATCACGTGCGTTTTAACCTTAACATTAGAAACATATTATCTCATTTCTAGCGCGTATAAATTACGATACAAACAGTAGCACATATTCGTGACTGCTTTAATGAAAATTTTTGTCTCTGTTTTTTTATTATTCATTCTATCTATTCGATGTATTCATTTAGGGAAAAGATGACACTATCAACTGGGAAATATGCACTATTTGCAAGTGGAAATGTTATTGCCACATGTGGTAATACATCAGTTATGAGCACTCTAGTGAGACAAGATGTAGCATCAAAGAGTTCTATAGTTCCTCTAACCGTGGATTATCGGCAAAAAGCTTCTGCAATAGGCCGTATACCAACAAATTTTTTTCGTCGAGAACTGGGATTCTCAGAGACTGAGATTCTCATAAGCAGAATAATAGACAGATCTGTACGTCCTCTATTTGAACAAGGATATTCTCATGAAACTCAACTGATATGTAATTTGTTGGCTGTCGACGGATTACACGAACCAGATGTATTGTCTATTAATGCTGCTTCTGCAACATTGAGCATCTCGGATGTTCCATGGAATGGACCTATAGGGGCTGTAAGGGTTGGGTTCATAGAGCAAGAATGTGTAATTAATCCTACAAGACGCCAACTACAGTATAGTACATTAAATCTTGTTGTGGCCTGTACATCTAGAAATCTTGTTGTTATGTTAGAAGGATCAGCTAATGATATCTTAGACCAAGATCTTCGTAAAGCAATACGAGTAGCTACCAAAGAGTGCCAGATAATTATACAGTCTATAACTGATTTACAAAAGAGAATTGGGAAACCTAAAATAAAAGTAACAGCGGAAACAGAAATACCGAACGATATGATAAATACTGTAAGGGAATTTTCAAAACACGAGATACTTAATATTTTTACATGTTATAGTCATGATAAAATTTCACGAGACAATGCTATTATAAATTTGAGAACCAAAATGTTAAATAATTTGGTGAACAATAATCCAGAAGCTGCTGAAAATGCTACACAAGCTTTCAATGAACTTGTTAAAGAAACTTTCAGGTCTTTAGTATTCGACAATCAGACAAGGTAGTTTGTGTGTATTAGCGGTAAAATAAGTATTAATGTTATGATAATTATGTAGATATCAAATATAAGTAGACGAATCATTTCAGATGCGACGGTCGCAAGATGGAAGAATTGAGAGACATAAAGTGTCAAGTGAATTTATTTGAACCACTCCATGGTTCTGCTTTCTTCCAAAGGGGTCAAACTCAAGTTTTATGCACTGTAACTCTTGATTCCATAGAAAATGCTCTTAAAATGGATACTGTTTCAATGATAGCTAGGTATTCTGTGTACCAATTCTCTACGATATTTGTTTAGTACATTTGAACATTTCTTTTTACAAATTTACAGTGGGATAAAAGAAAAGAATTTTTTTCTACACTATGAGTTTCCTCCGTATGCAACTAATGAGACAGGTAGAGTGACTGGTTTCGCTCGTCGAGAAATTGGTCATGGAGCATTAGCAGAGAAGGCATTGAAAGCAGTTATACCACACAATTATCCATTTGCTATAAGACTTACAAGCGAAGTATTACAGTCAAATGGTGAGTCTTCTGCAGATTTAAGAAGTGAATTATTATTTGCAAAAGTTGAAATAATGGTACAAATAAAAATATTTTCTAACATTTAAAAGGTTCTTCGTCTATGGCTACCGTATGTGGTGGCAGTATGGCACTGATGGACGCAGGTGTGCCGATATCGGCTCCAGTTGCGGGTGTAGCTATTGGATTAATATGTAAAATGAATCAAAATACACAGCAAATAGAAGATTACAAGATATTAACGGATATATTGGTAATTACATCTTCATTGAAATTTAAGTGCAACGCGAAAGAAATTAATTTCCGCATTTCTGTATAATAGGGCATAGAAGATTATCTTGGAGATATGGATTTCAAAATAGCTGGTACAAAGAAAGGATACACTGCTGTACAAGCTGATGTAAAAGTACCAGGCATACCTTTGAAGATAGTAATGGAGAGTCTTTATCGAGCAAACAAAGCAAAGTCTCAAATTCTTACTATCATGAACAACGTAATATCAACTCCAGCAGAGGATAAAACGAATAATAAACCGGTACTCGAAACAATGGAAGTCCCTATTCATCAAAGAGCAAAGTTTCTTGGAATAGGAGGATCAAATTTGAAAAAAATCTTTGTCGAAACTGGAGTTAATGTATGTTTAAAGAGAAGCCACATGTTCGAATATATATATGTTTGGTACGACAATTGAATTATTTTTACTATTACTATTCTCATTTATAGATACATTGGCAAAACGATAATACGTATTCCATATTTGCGCCTAATCAAAGCGCAATGGACGATGCCAAAGAAATGATAAGTAAACTTTTGACGGAAGAGTCGGAACCAACGTTAACGTTTGGCGATATTTACACGGCGAAAATAACGGAAATTCGTGAATTCGGAGTTATGGTTACATTATATCCTAACATGGTTCCAACATTATTACCTAATTCGCAATTAGATCGACGTAAAATCCATCATCCTAGCGCGCTTGGATTGGCAGTCGGGCAAGAGATAGAAGTGAAATATTTTGGACGGGATCCGGTGAATGGACAAATTAGGTTATCGCGTAAAGTGTTGCAAGAACCGGTTAGCACTACGCGAGATTTGATTACCGCCGAAGAAAGTAACGTCTAATTCTTTATATTTTTCTATACCTTGAAGCAATGTATGATAATGTATTATTCCTTCGAAAATGATGTAATCAGTTTATTCTTTGACAACAGATTAATTGTAATTGCAATGAAAACGATAATATTCTAAGCACAGAGTTGAATCAGTAAAGTAAAAATTCTTTTGATCTTAGATTGAAAGCATTTAATGTCAGATAGATGTGTCGAAATAAATGTGCTTAAAATATTTAGTTGTCTTTGTTCCCAACGATTACGAAGTATTGTAAATAATGTTTTTTCTACAAATTATTAAATATATCGTCTACAAAACCAGTCAGAAGTGTCCCTGATTTTACCTTTCACCACAACTAAATTGTTATCAATATGAACATCGAAGTTACGTAGGCATACCTACAATAAACATTTAACGATCAGGCATAGCTCGCGTCTCGTTTCGAGTTATATCGAAGGCGATAGACGGTACAATTTGGATTAATTTTGATTCAAAGTCTTATCGAAAATGGCTGCGCGTTTTCTCTACCGCTATGTTTTCAAACGGACATCCACCTTCGTTTTTGGTATCGTCGTTACCTCGATGATATTTGAGAGAGCTTACGACCACGCTTGCGAAAGTATTTTTGAATGGATAAACGAAGGCGTAAGAACTTCGAAGATCAACTCCTATGTGGATTAACGTTTTGAACGTGTCATTGCATATTCAGTTTTTTTTTCTGCAGAGACTCTGGATGCACATTAAAGATAATATCGAATATCGGTCGCAGGAATTGAGTTACAAGCGTAGTTCAGTCAACAAGGAGGAATCTAATTCGCAAAAAGAATCCAACGGACGTACGTGAGAGGATTAAACAATCCGAAGAGATAAGAAATAATCATACATCATGAAGCGTAAAATGGATATCTGTATAAAGGGCAACAATCGAAGAAAATGACATTTTCTTTAATATAAATCTTGGATGTAAAACATGTTGAAAATAATACTGTTATGCATTTAAGGTGCATTGAAAATGGTTGCGTATAATTCAAATTTTTCCAAAAATATTAATTTGAGACGATTAAGAAATAAGCTCTTGAATTGATACGCCTCAAAAACGTTTGAGCTAGTTCTCATTATCGTGTTAAATAGTTTTCCTCAGTCTTGATATGCACATTCGATAATGGATGATGTAGAGTGCTTCGTGGAGCTGCTTCATTAAAACACAGCGGTCATTTGGGAACAAAGCTAACTTTGTTGCGACTCCTTCGTCTCGAAAAACGTTAAGAAGTCGGTTCATGAATTAATTACAGACTCCTATTTTCAAGCAAAAGTCGACGCGATTGATGATGTACTATATCTGTATGGAATATCGACGTGGTCAGCGTTTCTTTTTAAATCTTATCAGTATATGCGCGCTATCGCAATTGACCTGTGAACTTCGTTCACCTCTAACTGTATTTAAGTGATCACAAGGATGCACGCCAGTTCATTCGTAAGATTCCTGCTCAGAAACATAACAGTGGATCGATCACTTCTCTCCTTCGAGTCGAATTTATACGAGTAATCGATATTTTAGAAGGTAACATTCAAGGTTTGACATCTGCCAATGAATTCATTCTACTGTTTTACGCGAAAAATGTTGAAATCTGTAAGAATCCGTAACGATTACACCTTAGAAACTTAACCATGACTTTGCTCTTTTCTTTTCAGGTGAACAAACATGACGCTGGTACATTTATTAATTATCTCGATTAGCATTCGGTGCTTGCTCGCCCAGACGATCTCCTGGGACGCCGTAGTCGACGCGGGCATCGAGGACACATTTTTTAATCATAAAAAGAAAGAAACGTGTGACGACGAGGAAAGCGTCAACTTATCCAATCTCGAATTGAAAGAAATCCCGAAGCATGTTGTTAGAAGTCACGCTATAACATCTATTTCTATGGACAACAACCAAATATCGGATATTTCAACAGAACTATTGGACGACACTCCAAACTTGCAATGTTTAAATCTTGCACGAAACAGAATTCCGTACGGTAAAATGTTTGGCTTTAAGCATGATCGTTTAAAGACGTTGATTCTGGATCACCAGAAATCATTTAGATCACCTAGCTTCTGGGGGAGTCTAGCAGGTAACAGTTACTACGACCCGCGTTCGAGGGTATCCAACAAGCAGGGCTCGTTTTTCCCAAGCTTGGAGAGTCTCCATTTAAGTGGAGTCGATTTCGAATACTTTATACCGTATTTCAATAAATCATTTCCAGTACTATCAAATTTATACCTCGCGGATAATGATCTTCAGTACATACGCGAAGACATTTTCTCAATACTTCCAAAACATTTAAAAAGCCTTCACCTGGAAAGAAACAAACTTCGTGAATTGACTTTCTACGGTTTAAGTCCTATCGAAGAATTGTATCTCGATGGCAATCCTTTGGATATCGTCCGTATCATCGACCCCTATGATCTTGATTTTCCTGTTAATTCGAAGTTGATTAAACTCAGCTTAAATAAGTTATCGCTCTCAAATTGTAACATGACTGACGAAAGGTTGGATCGTGTACTTTCATGGTACTCTGAGGATGTAACTACATTGGATTTGTCCCATAATCACCTTCAGCTCAAAAATTATAATTTTAAATCGCACAGTATGTTGCAGCATTTGTCGTTGACTCATAACCACTTAACGACCATCCCAGATATTAATCATTTGAACAGACTGAATAGTATTTCATTAAGTTACAATTTCATCGAAAGGGTTCCAAAACTAACTATGCCGAAATCGTTGAAGAAGCTTAATTTAAGAGGCAATAAAATAATCGAAATCGAGAATGAAGCATTCGCGAACCTCGTCCAACTAGAAGCGTTGGACCTTGCAGAGAACCAACTAAAATATTTGCCTCAGGAGTGGCAAACAAATTTAGTTGTGTTAAGATATCTAAATTTGAATGAGAATCAGTTCGCTAGCATCGAGTATATGATGCTAAGACCGTTATTGAATTTAAGAGAATTTCACATAGCGGGAAATCCGATCAAGTCTATCGATCACGGTTCCCTTGCGATTATTCCCGATCAGTGTACAGTATACGTTCTGTCAAATAAAGAGACAGTATAATCGAAGGATTTTCTAGTATTAATTATTGTAAAAATTCGTGAAAATTCAGTTAGGTTCCTAAAGCGTTTATAAAATGCTGACATTCTTCAGGAATAATAATATGTAATATCAATCCCTATTTATCTTAACGACTAGAGATGCAATCGTAGACTCTATTAGACTCTGTTATTCAATTTACTAATAAGATTGAGAATATATCCCTTTATACGCATTATTGTGTACACGTATTATGAATAAAGACCGTACAATCGTGTCCTGGCATTAAAATTTCATTTTCCTTCCTCTATTCGTAACAATTATTTATCGACTATTTCAGATAATTAACCGAAGACTCGATAGAGACAGCAAGGAACGTTACTCGAAACTTGCAACGACTTCATCGGATATAATTACGCAATTCCGATAACGCACATATTTTCTGCAGAATTCGGTAAAATTTCAACTCTGGTTTTTAATACGAAGGGCTATCACCGAACCGAGCAGATGTGAATTTGTACTCTTAATTTTTAGAACACATCTTCTAATAAACAAGAAATAGGATAGAATAAGAATTTTAATAAGAATTTCTATACGAAAAGTTATAATTATAAGATAAAATTTTAATAAGAATTTAACGAAGATACCGAATATATCGTACAAGTGAATCTGAAATATTGTGGCCATATTCGGAGAGAATAGAAATTAAAAATTCTTTTCGTGCAATCGTACCGGTTTCGGACAGTGCTCGCGACAATAAGATCAGTCCGCATTGGTACTTGTCATCTAATTTCCGGCCCTTATCGTCATCCGCGGCGAGACGTAGCCATCCAGGCGATTAATGTTCGAATTTAATCAATGAAACGTTGATCCGTTCCGAGAAACTTTCTTGTCCGAACAATGGTTCCAGAGAATGGTTTCGCAGATAATTGCAGTGATCGCCAACCGCGAAGAGCGTGAAACTTGTCGCACGCATTTCAATATTTTCTGCGAGCTACTTATCGAAATCTGCGAATAGATCGTAAGGTGCTATCGTCAAGGTAGCAGAGAAAGTCAATTAAATAAATTAAATTTCCTCATCGAAGCGAACCGACACGCTGAAATTGATTAAATTGTTTCGCCCCTATTTCCTAACAAACACAATTCCTCGCAGAGCGCGGTCACGTGTGTTACTCGCTCTGAACTTCAAAATTAAAAATCCTTTTCGTTTAACCCTTTCAAAGCACCTGGTTACTACTGCTCACCACAAATTAAAAATTAATTTGTTAAGTGCCTACTGGTTTCTATTATAATAAAAACCATAGTGGAATATGTGTTGCCTATGTCCTGGAGGATAATCAAGACATCTTGTTTACATTCCCTTCCCATTTCATTTATACGCATATTCTTAAATAATTTGTAAGAATAAAAATGTGTTAAGTAAAATATTTTTAATCATGTCGTCAAACGGTTAGACCGCCATTAACGCTACGTTTATGAAATCCATTCAAATTCATTCTTGTTCAAGCCTACTAATTAATTTTAGTAAATCGATTGGTAATATAAATCTGATCGGAAGTCTCCGTAAACTAACTAACTAACGTCAGCGTCAAAATAAATATCGCGTATTGTTTCGAAGTCGGAGAGACCCCTGTGCCTTGATTATTCTTACTAAGCATTCCAGAACGATATGCTCGTGTAAACCTGAGCCCAGCGAGAGATAGTCTTTCAAGAATGATGCACAAACTCGAACTCAGTAACTATTTTGGCCAAGGGACGGACGCGATTGGACTTTCACCCTGTGTCTTCCGTTCGCGACGTGTATGGGTGGTCCTTATTTGAGGCCTTGAGAACCAGAGTGGCCTAAGTAACATTTTTTCTAAAATCGAGTTATGGCCTAAAGCGCATAGCTGATGTTTTATAAAACCAAAGTGACGCATGTTTATAATTTCCTTAATCATTAACAAATGGCAGCATAGAACAGTAACGAATTTTTGGCAAATAGGCCCAATTTCTCTTTACAACTCGATACCATAATTTTGTAGATAGGTTACTCTGGTTCTTATGGTCTCATCTCAATGATTTCTGAAATATATGTTACGCAACCCCTGAATATCTTGCAAATAACACATGTACAAAACGTTCGAAAAGTTTAAATGGAATACATGGATTGTTTTCAATCGGTTACTTCTTTCTTTATAACTCCGATAAAAATCGACGAAACGATTTGAAATTTGATAGAGTTATTACTTATAGTAATAGGAACAAGCCCTACGAATTTCAAGTTATTATCTGAATTATTTCCTTACATATTCGGCTCAGTATCTAGGGAGTGCGTAACATGTCAATCGTTCTAGAAATAATTGGTACTAATATTTTTCATGATCTTTGGAATTCAGGATGAAGAAACGCGTTCAACGAATGGCTACGGTCCTGATGCCGACATGGCGTTGAATTACCTGCGAATTATCGCTACGCTATAAGTAGCTACATTATGCACATCGGGACAGAAAGCGCCAAGTCGTTTAAACGTGTCGAACCAGAAGGGTTGTGCGCACTGTGTTTCCATCGCGATCTCAAAACGTAAGTAACTTCGTGATCGCTCGATATTGTTTATGTTTCCCCCGTTTTTCCGCAAAGTGTGAAGCGTAAAGTGTAAAGTGGCGGGTTAAAACTCCGAGAAAATCGATTATTTTTCTATGGATTCCGTTCAAATTGAAGTATATCGTAGTCCGCGCAATAATAGTGGAGGTTTAAGTCATCATTTCCCTATTTTTGGAATTGTTTAAGAAATACACCCTCTCAAAATTGGCACTACTCTAGCAACTTTAATACCAAATTTTTTGATTTTACTTTGAAAATGAATTTTTGTCTCGGGAACCGTTATAGATCCGAACTTCAATTTTTAATTTTCCATCGTAATGGATCGATCTTCTATTAAAAATATTTTTAATATTCTCAGACCACAACAACTCAATTCTTTATCGACTCATTCTCACCCTGTTTACAGATGGCAATCGAACTCTGGAAGATTGTACTCCTTCTCGGTTTGCAGTCGATCTCTGTTCATGGCTTCAACTTTGACTTCCAGGCTAAGAAGCCACACATTAGCAAAAGTACACCACAACCTCCCATAAACTGGCAGCAACCATCTTCCTATGGACAACCACCTTCCTATGGACAAGCATCTTTCTATGAACAACCACCTCCCTATAGACGACAAAATTCTACAGACGTCCCAACAGAAACCTGCGAGAATTCACCAGTGATACTGAAGTTAACCCGCACAGGCTTGAAGAGAGTCAACGATGGTTTCATCAACAGCGACAAGGTTACAGAGCTGCACCTAGACGATAACGACATCACAGAGATCTCGGCAGGCGCATTCGACTTCCTCCCCAATCTGGAGCTGTTGAACCTGACAGGCAACAACATCTCCACGTCTCGATTGTTATGGTTCAACAAGCTGTCGTCCTTAAGAACCTTAATTCTTGATGGCAACAAGCGCCGCGAGACGGAAGCAACCTTGGATCACATCTTCCATCCACTATTAAGACTACGGGAACTTTCTCTGAGTAGATGCGGAATCTCGCGTCTGACAGTCAACTTGAAGACGTTCGCGCCGAGTTTGACGCGTCTTCGCCTTTCCGGCAACGCCATCAACTCGTCGGACTTCCTCGAAGAATTACCAGAGTACTTGATCGAGCTAAACTTGAACGACAATCTCCTGACGAGCGTTGGAATTGGCATGGCGAACGGCCTCGAGGTGCTTACTGTCAGTGGGAACAAGTTAGAGAAGCTTGGTGACTCGTCCCTGTCGTTGAAGAATGCGTTGAAGATGTCCAAGCTGAACGCGTCGCGAAACAGGATCACCGAGATTACTGAGAACGCCTTCGAGGACACCAAGCATCTCAAAGTCTTGGACCTGTCGCATAATCGACTGAAAACGCTCCCCAGTCGCCTCTTTGATGAATTGGCATACCTGGAGAAGCTCTTGGTGAGCCACAACCAGTTGACATATATGCCAAACGTGAACTCGTTGAATAGCCTGAAGCTGCTGGACCTGTCTGGCAACCACATCCTCGACATCGGGAACGACAGCTTCAATCGTACCATGCCGCGCTTGGAGACCCTTCTTCTGGCTAATAATTACATCTCCAACGTGGACAGTAGGTCGTTCACTAAGTTCTCGTACTTGAGGATGCTGGATCTCTCCAGCAATTCGCTTCTCGATCTTCCAGCGCACCTGATCAATAACACGAGATATCTTAAGGTGTTTTTACTGCGTGACAACGACATCGTCAAGATCGACGACCTGCGCCACGTGAAGTCGTACAGTCTAGAAGAGCTGCACCTCCAGAGAAACCCCTTGTCCCACATCAGCCTTGCTGCTCTTTTGCCAGATAATCTGCCGAACCTTGTTATATATATTAACGACCCGTCGAAAAAGAACGAGGAGGATGATGAGAATGATCAGGGTGATTGCAAGAAGGATTGCGGGAAGGATGACGAGTAATGACGAATGGTCTGAATAGGTATGTTGAGCTTGAATATACGCAGGAACATATTGTTGTATTATTTAATTGGTGCAAAAGTAATCTACTCCTTTTTATTGTTTATGTTTTGTGTCATTTACTGATGGAGATTTTGCCTTTATAATTAATGTTGTGTGTATGTGTGTTTTTGTTTTTATTTATAGATGGTTTATTCTGGATTGAGTTATGGGATTTTAAAATCAAATAGATGAAAGAGGGAATTACTTTTGCACCAATGTAATAATTAATTTACTTTTTTTATATGATACCTACTCGTAGCATCTTCTTTGTTTGACTTTCAGAATGCTTCAAGAAAATGCGAATCCAACTTCCGTCGAGGAAAAGTAAACGAACATCGTTTGAGACGAATCGGAAGCGATCGACGAATAGCTTTACTAATCAATATAATAACCCTGTATCGATTAAGATGTCATTAGAAACACTAATTTGTTTAAAATGACCACGAAATATGTATATTGTAACATTGTTTAAATGTCATTATGAAAAATAAATGCCATTTAGTTCCACTGTGTTAATATCGAAATATTTAAACGATTTAGCTTACTTCTTCGATCAACAAACGAAATATTTTATATTCAATGTAAAATAAAATGTTTACCATCTACTATTTTCTAGAAAACGAAGTTAGCGATGCGGGTGGAGATATTTCGAAAAGCTTGCGCTTTGCGTTTCTAGATGGCAATCTAATCGCGAACGCGCAGCGCAAAGGGGAAACGAGATGCTAGGGTGGCTTTTGGTTTTCCTGATACAAAGAGCATTTTGCTTCAGTTTAAAACAATATTTCACGAGTAGAAAAATATGTTTTTGAAGTATCGAAAACTATCATGTCCGTCAATGTTTCCTCTTAACCTTTTATCGAATTCCTGCATGCGACACTGATACAAGGGAGTGTAGGCGGGATGGGTGAATGAGTTTAGCGTCTTCTTGTTTCTGAATTTGTCACGCGCACCCTCAACGGACAGGACTATTGTCCTTGAGTGTCCTTTGTCAGCTGTGGAGGGATACATTATGACTATCCCAGAACCCTCCCCATGGTCCTCGAGCGGAAAGGAGGGTCAGCAAAAACGAAAGGAATGTTTTTCACTTAGGTGTTCGTTTGACGGGGGACATCAACGATCCAGCGTCTTTTCCCCATTCCTGAAGAAAACGCAAGCTTCAGAACGATACCTAAAGTTTTCCCTTTGAAAGGGATCCTCCTCTATTTTTATCTTCCTCGCGGTGAAACAAAAAATACCGCCAACGCTATTCCTCCAGAGAGTTGGCTGCCACGCTGGCAAAACGTGGAAACTGGCTCGAGTCAACTCGTTCACTTTTTACACGGGGCCGCGTAAGAAACGCTCGGTTGGTTCAAATAAAGTTATACATTTCTTTGTGCATCGCGTTGCAAGAACATTCTTCGATTCCGGTGAGAAATCAGGTCACGTGTGTCTGATACGGGAAAATTACTTGGAAACTGTTACGTGCCTTTACAAGTAACTCTAATTTCAAGGATACCGTTTCATTTAACTTGTTTGTATTTAGATTGACAACTTCGTGTCGATTACTGATGATCGATGCGCGTGGGATTAAGAAAGTCCTTTCCCATTTTCAGATATAAGGTTTAAGGCATTGGAATTTATGCGATTGAAGTTTCAGCGTCCGAGAGCCACGCGTATCGCGCGGGCGTGCGATCAGCTGACTGAAACTCGAAATAGAACGCGTCGAGAGATGCATCGATAAATTTTAATTCCTCGTTCTAAGGGAACGAAGATTTGAACTGTAAAATAGTAGGGAACTTTTCGATGCCTTTTTACTCGAAGATCTTGAAAATAGATTCCACATTGTGTTAATACTATAGAAACCACTAATAGAATACAATTCTTTCTAATTGTATTAGAAAAAAACTTTTAGCCTAGCAGGAATTTTGACGATCATTGGTCTGTCAGTCAACGTGTTCAAAACACCCCCCTCTCACCGGGTCCATTCTCCGCGTCCGACCGAAAGTAAAACCGACAAAGCACCCAAGAAAATCGCAGACTGTCGAGCATAGCCACACCCCTCTCCAGGGGCGGCTTATCCGTGTTACTCGAGTTACTATACGCACCCCTAAGAGCCTCGTCACAGTTCAGACCGCCATCCCTCGACCCTCCCTCGCCACCGACCAGCCGAAGAAGAAGAAAGATGCAAAGCGTGCAGCCGGAGAAAAGCGCGGCTCCCATCCAGTTGGATCTGGCCTAGGTTGACCGAGCCGCCTAGAGAACCGAAAGATATATAGGGGTGGGAAGCTCACCCCTGCCGATCAGGGGTGTCGGTTGGGGTGGAGGAAGAGGGTGGACGAGTAGGTGGGAACGCATGCGCTTCCTGCAGCCCGTCGCGTTGGCAGGGATGCTCGAGAAGAGAGAAGGAGAACGAGAGAGACGAACGACGGGGATACCCCGAAGATAGAGGAGGACGGGGTGCGAAACACTGGGAGCGAGGAAGATTCGCCGTGAAAAAAAGGGTATATCGCGATCGGAGTCGCGGCATCGCGGTACCGATAAGGACGCGTCGAAGGCGGAGGCGAGCTGGAAGAGAAGGAAAACGGCAACGGGGGTAGCGTACGAGGACGGAGGACGCAAAGGGGGTCGGGAATCAGGCGGCTACCGCTGCCAGAAGAGGACAGAGGGAGCCTAGGTCTTTCGCGTCTAGCCAGCTCGAGACTCGCGACCACCTCCCGCCAGGCTATCTCTCTCTCCTCTTTCAGTGTTCGTTCGAACACGGCCCGGTACGGTTCTGTAGCTCCGTGGTCGAAGGGGTCCTCCTCGTGATGGGAGCTCGAAATCGCGGTGGCATCGGCAACGTCACCCGGTAGCCCGATTCCAACGAGCCACACCGATGTCGCGGGGCTCGTCAGGGTGACGCGTGGCCGGTTCATCGACAGCTGTCGGTCTCTTCGGTTACTCCGTTCGGTTTCCGTATATACCGTTCTGAATCCCCGCGCTCAGGCGGCGACCGAACACACCGAGAATAAGGGAAACGGAGCGAGACGAACGGAGAGGGATTATCACGAAAGATATATATCCCCAGGATAAGGGGCAGAATACGCCGCACCGTGAACAGAGGTGGAGACCGAGAGAGCGAGAACGAGGGGGAGAGTGTGCGACTCGGGCGCGATAAAGGGCGTGCGAGAGAGTGTGAAATTCGAGAAGGGGGCTGTACCCATAGGCAAGTGCGCGTGCAGAAACGAGGACACCTAACAGGGAGAAACCACGTCCGGTTGGGTACCGATGGGGAAACGCTAGCTGAGACCTTGACGCGGATGGAAGACGCAGGTAGCTGGCTACGTGTTCGAATCACGAGGACGCGTGTGCTTTAGCGCGGGGAACCTCTAGATTCCTCGCTAAACCGGTGTGTCGCGGCAGGGGGTTGTGAGGGGGGGTGTAAACGCAGATCGGCTGTCGCGAAGTTCATCCGTCGCCTCGCCGTCCTCTTGTTCCTGTTGGATCGAACGCCTCGCGAATCCGTAAACGAGGAAAAGATGTCAGGGAACTACTCTGTCCGTTGCGAACCTGGCCTGGTGGTGCCTATGTGGTATCCGGAGGAGAACCTCGATCTCTCCGACATCGTCTTCCGCGGGATAGTCTACTTCCTGCTGTTGCTGTACCTGTTCATCGGCGTGTCGATCATCAGCGATCGTTTCATGGCGGCGATCGAGGTGATCACGTCCAAGGAGAAGGAGCTGGTGGTGCGTCGTCAGGGCAAGGAGCCGCAGATCGTCGTGGTGAGAGTGTGGAACGAGACGGTGGCCAATCTGACCTTGATGGCGTTGGGCAGCAGCGCGCCAGAGATCCTGCTGTCGATCATCGAGATCTGGGCGAAGAACTTCCAAGCGGGCGAACTGGGACCTGGCACGATCGTTGGCTCCGCCGCGTACAATCTCTTCGTCATCATCGCGCTATGCGTGTTCGTGATACCGAACGGCGAGACGAGAAAGATCAAGCACCTGAGGGTCTTCTTCGTCACCGCGACGTGGAGCATCTTCGCGTACGTCTGGCTCTACGTGATCCTGGCGGTGTCCAGTCCAGGTGTTCTCGACGTTTGGGAGGGTGTGTTGACCTTCTCCTTCTTCCCAGCCACCGTGCTCACAGCCTACGTCGCCGATCGGCGGTTGCTGATCTACAAGTACCTCCACAAGGGATACAGAATGAACAAGAGAGGTGTGATCGTTCACGCGGAGGCTGGAGACTCCGACGGCGGGGTGGAGCTAGACATCAAGCCGCAACAGGACAGCTTCCACAGCATGATGGACGCGGACACGCCCGAGGCGAAGGAGTTCGAGCAGACCAGAAGGGATTACATCAACACTCTGCGAGAACTGAGGAAGAAATACCCGACGTTGCCGTTGGAACAGCTCGAGGTGATGGCCCATGAGGAGGTACTTGGCAAAGGTCCAAAAAGCAGGGCCTTCTACAGGGTCCAAGCCACCAGGAAGATGGTGGGTGCTGGGAATCTCAGCAAGAAGATCAGCGAAAGGGCACAGAGCGACCTGAGCGAGGTCAAGGCCGAGTTACAAAGGCAGGAGGCGGAGAGCATCGACATCGAGAACGTAAACGCCATGAGGATCTTCTTCGAGCCTGGACACTACACCGTGATGGAGAACGTGGGAACATTCGAGGTGGGAGTGACCAGGGCTGGTGGTGACCTCGCCAAACCTTGCTCCGTGGACTACTGCACCGAAGATGGCTCCGCGGAAGCTGGCTCGGATTACATCAGCGCGAAGGGAACTCTGACCTTCGATCCGGGCGAGACCAAGAAGACCATCAAGCTGTCTGTCATCGACGACGAACTGTTTGAGGAAGACGAGCACTTTTACGTCAGGTGAGATACTTCTTCTTCGAGTATCGATAGGGATACTTTCTTCTGTGATGCGAGGGAACGTTGCAAGTTATCATTTCGATGAGATGAGATATGCATTTGCTTATGGAGATCCTTTGCAGAAGTT